TACGCTGTTTTGCTTTTATTTTTGCACCATTATTTTCCCTTTTTCATAATTTTTACAATATTATTCAACTTAGCAGACTAAATTTGCAAGAGGGCAACATGATGATGAAGGTTTCGCCATGGAGGCAAAGTCGCAAGGAATCTTCATAGGAGTCCTACGTGTGATTTAATTTAAATCTTATCTTATCAAATATCCTCGTTCAAATGGAAAAAAGGCCATAATACACTGATTATTAAAAAAAATTCCCTAAATTCAGTACTTATAAACTTATTTCCCAAAATACAGCAGTTTCAACATCACTGTCTTTGAGTAAAACAGTGATTACAATCACCGTTTTTGTCCAAAACGGTGATTGCATCACCGCTTTTAACCAAAACAGTGATGCCATTCCCGCGTTAGGTAAAAGCGGTGATACGCTGACCGTTGATAAGGGAAACAGTGAACTAACAATGACCGGTGATGGGGAAAACAGTGAAGTGGACGCGGATCGCAGACCTTGGAAGTGCGGTTTGATTTAAAAGGTGCTATTTTTGTAAATATTTTCGGTTGGGTGCTAGTTTTGTAATTTTTTTAAAAGGTGCTATTATTGGAAAAATCCCAAACATCAATATATATAAACATGAAGTTGGTTACTGTTGCATAACTATTTACGTTTTGATACTCCAAATTTAATTAAATTCAATATATATAAACATGAAGTTGGGTTACTGTTGCATAGTTATTTACGTTTTGATATCCCAAATTTAATTAAATCACAATTTAATCACTATAATGTACATTTTACATATTTAGTAATCCAAAATTAATTTTAATGTAAAATCATTGAAAAATTATATTTGGTATCTCAATTTTATGAGATTTTCGTACCTAATATCCCAATTTAATTAAATCACAAATTAGTCACTATAATGTACATTTTACATTTTGATACCCAAATTTAATTTTCAATGTAAAACGATTAAACAATTATGTTTGGTATCTAAATTTATAAATGAGATTTTTGTACCTAAAATTTTTTAAATATACATATTGGTCAATGTTTAGATTTCATATGAATCCATGAATCCAATCCACCAATTCTTTTGAACCAATTCATGAATCCAAACCACCATAATATAAAAGTATACATTTAGTCTGTAAAATACAAGAAGTTGTATTACGCAACTGTAGGAGAGGACTCAACCCTTTTATATTTGCTCATAACGTGAAATATTAAATAAATGATAAAAAAGAGACGACTCAATAATATAGCAAGAGTGAATTTATAAACTCATTTAGTACATTTACGAGGTACTAAACAAACTTCTACCAACTACATGTAACAAAATATGTGACATCTATATAAGCAAGTGTCAATAAATTGCTACGGTGAAAAGGGTTGATTGTTGTATTGACGACAAACTAAAAGAATTGATCAAAGCCTTCCATCGTCTACTTCCTCTTCATTTCAATTTTCACTCACCTTCCATAACCCTTTCTGTATTTCTTTCTTTGTCTTCTTCGTGTAACCCTAATTAGTATATTATGTATTCTAATCACAAGTATGAACGGGTCCATACACGACTCACCAACAGTCTAGAGAATTAATAATTGAACCATGACCACTAACTTTTTCAGTTCAATGTCAAGTCCAATTAAAAATAAATATATATGGTTATTACTCATTAGAAAGTCGCCATTTTCCACTATGAGATTTGAAGACGTGAAATTTTAAGCGAGTTCCAGTTTGTACCTAAACTTAATAAATCTTTAGATTTATAACCTAAATTTATTTTTTTGGCATGTAAGTCCTCAAAATATTGATAAAACATTACATTTTAGTACCTAAAATTTTTGTGTATTACATTTTGGAACATTACGTCACCCATACCCTATTCATAATCAATGGGTCTACTAGGGTTTAGGTAAATATAATTTATTAACCAAAATTTTCAAACAATTTAAATTGGATATTGATTGCCATATATCTCTTCTCATTCAATATTACTAACTAAACTACTAACAAAAAAATAATTTTAGGCCAATAATACTAACAAAACACCATAATGGGCCACTTAATACATGTGCATAGGCCATCTCCACTCCGGAACAAGGCGCGGCATCGCCACCAAGTGTAAATATATAGCCCCCGCCTCACTTTGCAGTCCTGAAATGAGAAGGCAACGATCAGTAACGTCTGACGACATTATCTTGCCTTTACGACTCGAAAATTTCAGTATAAAAAACCTTAGGTATCAAAACTGATATTTGGAGAACCTATATGGTGTAGGGCAGGGACCCCCAACAAATTATAAATGCACATTCAGTACTCAACTACTCATTTAAAATTCGTTTGTCGGTAAGTACTTTTTTACTCTTTTGGGTAAAAATAAGTACTTTTTTACTTGATGGATGGAGGTATATACCTATTTTTTCCCTCCTTTGAGGTGCCAGAAGACACATGACCTATGCACACAAATTTAACAAATTGATGGGCTCTTATCCAGAGATGATCCTCCTCCCATAAGTTCATGCACAAAATATATATACACGTACCCACCTTGTCTGCTGGTGTTGTTGAACTAAACATGGCCACTATATTTGAAATTATATATAAAATGGTAGGAATACGATATATACATATTTCCTGTGAGTCTCTAAAGGTTCAAGAAAACGTTAGACATAATGTGGGTATTGGTGCCTTGCCTAGCGCCTAATTAACTCATCTAGGCGTTGTCTAAGTGTGTTAAGCGTTGGAAGCAAAAGTAACATTTTGTACTAAATAATGAATGAAATAGTTGTTTTACAAAACTTCTACTTTCAAATGATTGATAACTTACTTAACACTTAACAATAATAAAAAATAGCTCACAAGTTCATAAAATCATAGGTCAACTGTTCACTAAGTTCTTGAGCTATTCAAAATATTGAGATTGTAGATAACATAAATTTCTCCCTTCTGATATTGATTGTCCAGCTCTACCCCGTTGCACCTAGGTGTGGCCGATTTGTGCGACAGCTTTCGACAGTCTTAACTTTGTTGTGAACCCCTAGGCGAGGTGTTTTGACTTTGCCTAGCGCCTAAGCATAAGATTAAACGAGCATTTTTTAGCAATGTCTGTGACACGACTTACACTCTGTGGTGTATATATATGTTTAGGGTGGTTTGTGGGTTGTAGGATGAAGAAATGCGTATTATAAAATTCTAGGGTTATAGGTATAATATGCCCCTCTACTATGACGTTTTATCAAACATGCCCCTCTACTATTTTTGACATCAAACATGCCCCTATACTATGAAAAAATTATCAAACATGCCCTTATGTTAAAATTTTCATTGAAAAAATCGTCAATCATGGTTGAACCGAGATTTAGACGACCCGACATCGGCAAATGGGAGAGAAAATGTCAGTTTTATCTCCCGTTGTATTTCTCCGGGTGTCTTCAAAGTGAAATTATTTGAATTATTTGACTATACAAAAGACAAAAAAAAATTAAAAGTGAAATTATTAGGGATATTTTAGACATTTGTGCCGCCCAAACCAAAGTTCGACCTTGGTTAATGGTTTTTGGATGAAAATTTAAACAAAAGGACATATTTGATTATTTTTACAAAGTACAGGGGCATGTTTGATGTAAAAAATAGTAGAAGAGCATGTTTGATAAAACGTTATAGTAGAGGGGCATATTATACCTTATAACCCAAAATTCTATTGATTAAGGTTGATAGAAAAGGAACGTACAAAATTTCAAGAGGTTGACTTATGATACTGTGGAGATAAAAATATCTATTATACTTTAGATTCGAAGTTAGGGACAAACAGAAGATGGATTGGAAAGACTAGGGGGCCACAGAAGCTTCTATATGAAAAGCTCATTTTAGTATTTGAGGTAATTAATTACGTTTGTGTTGGTTGTTTAAGGTGAATAAGGGATGGGATCAGATTTACAACCAATGGTATTTTGGGTATGAAAAAATGAATATATTAATTATCTCTTTTGTATTAATTATATTGGAAATTAAAAACCATATTAAATACAATTTTTTTTTTTGAAATTTAAATCTTATACATTAATATTTCTATCTCTCTCTCTTCCTTTCTCCAGCGGCCACTCCGCATCGACCGACAAACTTTTTCTCCGGCGAATTCTCTCCGGCAGACTCCCTCCGGCAACCTGAAAAAATGTACCAATGCGTTAAAAAGTGTACCAATCTATTAGTCTACTGGTAATTAATATACCAGTGCTAGTGGTACGCTACCAGTACGTTAAAAATGTACTAGTACTAGCGATACCAGTAAAAAATGTACCAGTACTAGTGGTACGCTCCCAGTACAACGCTACCAGTAGAGAATGACACAACGCTACTAGCACTGGTAGCGCTACCACTAGCATTGGTAGCGCTACCAGTAGAGAATAACACACAAAAAAAAACAGATGATAGTGGTATCAGATGATAAGGGAGCCACTGGTATTGGTACTAGTGAGTAGTGGTAGCGTACCAATAGCGCTACCAGTGGTATTGGTACCAGTAGAGACTATCAGATCTGGAAAAAAATAGGGATGAGGACCGCGGCGGAAGAGTCTTGACCTCACGGCGGCGGCGGCATACAAATGGCGGGGTCAGCGTGGCACGACGGTAGGCGCGGCAGGACGGAGAGAGGGGGAGGACAGCGGTGGGGACAGCGGCACGGCAGGATGGCGGGGACAGCAGACGCGGCAAGGCGGTGAGGACAGCCGGCGCGGCGGAGATCAGGGGTGAAGGTGGGCATGGGAGAGGAAGAGGGAGCTGCGGTGGTGGGAGGGCTGTGGCGGCGGAGAGAGGGGAGGAGAGACGGTGATGTCTAAGGGAGAGAGGGAGGAGAGAGAGAGGGAGGATGGAAGAGTTAGGGTTTTTGTTCTTTTTATATGGTAATGTGAATGATTGGGTGTGGTAAATTTTTATCCTTCCAAAAATATCCTTCCTTTAATCTTAACCGTTAATTTATAAAAAAAAAAAAGACAGGAGAGAGCGTATCCAAGGACGTATCTCGTCCCGGCGAATAATGGTACAGAAAAAGAGAGAGAAGCTAGGTTGGTATCGGTCGGTAACTGCGGCTGTAAGAAAATAAATATTACTGCAATGAGTTTATGGCCTTATGGGCGATAGAGGCGAGCAGATTATGATAATGACGCAGGGTAGGACGTAGGTATGTAAAATTAAATATTACCATTGGAACTCTTCTACTTGTATACAACGCATGCAAGTATGCAACTGGGACATTTGTCTTTAAAATATATAGCTAGCTGTCTGTTCGGCCGAATTTATACGAGTACAACCGTCTTTTCAATTTTGGCATTTCTGTAACGTGTCGAATATTTTTTCGACAAAATATTGTCCGTAGCTTTCGGTCTATACTCCCATACTTTTTTGTATTAGGGGTGAATGTTAAAGGGATATTTAGAGAGGTCATCCATCTTTGTAGTGCTCAAAATAAGTACGTACGTTAAACTTTTTAGTTCTGGCACGAACTATTCCATTTCACTCCAATATACGTCTTGTCAGTTAAACTAGATTTTTTATTTATGAACTATAAGTCTCTCATTCTTTGTCGATGTGGGATTCGCGGTACGCCTACCCGTTGTCAACGAAATAATGCATGCAACTATATATTAGTGTAGTGTCATAATTCATAACTCGATTGATCTATTCCTTCTCGCAGACTTTACTCACTATATGGTTCTTTCATAATTTTCCTTCTTCGTAACTTCGGTAGTAAATGTATTGGAGTAGGGAAATGAATGCATGTCAAAGAGGGAAATCACTTGGTTCGCCACAAGATAAAGTGATCCATCGTAGCAAAAGGGCACACGTAAATGTTTTTACATACGTATTCTAGAATCTAGATTGCCGGTGAAGTAAGGAAGATAGATAGATAGTATCAAATATCAATTAAGTTGACGAAATTATAGATTACAGCGTACTTAGCAGGTAATTAAGTAGATAACATATAGAAGGATGGGTTGGATATTTAGGGATCGTTAATAATACAGTTTTATTTGAAAAAAATGAACCTTCGTAGAATTGTTGATGTATTGAATTAATTTATGTTGTTTTTTGGATGTTGAGTTGTGTTCTGAATTTGATTTTTTAACTTTTAAATTATAGTAAAATTATATAATAAAAAATGAATGGATCGGTTTATCAACTGACAGTGTGACCTCATCTCCCCCAGATTGAGAGCGCGAGTGCTTCAAACCTTATCTCGGATTCTCGGTCACTTGCATGTGGGACGGCGCAATAAGGAATGGATCACACTCGACGGGAGGAATGGTGATTAAAGATCGGAGTGGTTTGGTTGTCTTGGCTATAGGAGTACATTTCGATTATATTGATGATCCACCAATGGTAGAAATATTAGTTCCCCATGAGGTCATCCAGTGGTGTCTGGATTGTGGCATCTCGCAGGTTTGTTTTGAAGGGGACGTGAATGTGGTCATTGATAAGACAAACCAGGCCGATAAACAGATAATCACTCTAGAGTCATTCTCAAGGAAGTTCTTTGTTTGTTGGCAAATCATAATGGTCTTCATGTACGATCTGTAGGTCGGAATAGCAATAGGGTAGCCCACCTGGTGGCTAGAAAGTCCCTTTCGTTGTACCCGATTACTTGTCGCTCTTTTGATTTTGTTTCCTAGTTCTAGTTGTATACCAGGGAGTAATGTGTTCGATCACTTTTTATTTTTTAATCAATACAAGATTATCTTTTGCAAAAAAAATTATAAAAAATAAAGGATTTATCAATACTCACATTTCATATTGAGGTTGGCTTTTCTAAATTCGTGAGACTCGTCAATTTGAAATGATTTTTTCTTTTTAATTCATAAAAGCACGTATTTGATGCATAATATGGATTTGTCAATTAAATTCATATATATTGAATTTTGGATGTCAAATACACTATTCAAATCTAACGCACAAATAAGGCATCTAATTATCTTTCACCGGTAAAATTGCTTGAGAAAAAAAAAATAAAGTTAAGAATCTTCTTGTAACTTATTACTTTCACGGTTTTTCAGTAGGGTTTCCAATTAACTTTCCAACCGTCTTCAACACTTCCCTAACTGGAATAAATGTGATCTACAAAGAGACAGATACCCTCAAACCCAAGCTAGTTGTCACTTCACCTCGACAATGATTAATTATTTGGTTTTAGTGCAATTGCAAGTCTTGCGACTATGTTGGACATCAGTAACGTGTTTTTCGACAGGTTTCTCCGATAGTGACGGTGGGTTTGTATCATTGTATGGTAGAGTGCTCTTTGTGAGTATGATTTTAGAGGGATTAGAGGGTGTAAAGTTTTGTTTTTAAATAGTGGTAACATGTGATAAAATTTTTGGGTTTTGGTAGATAGGGTTGTATAACATTTCGTGCATATAATCAAATATGTTTGTTTCATGGATTTCTGAGTGACATCATATGTAAAGAATGATATTAAAATATTTTTTTATATATTACTATATTTTTTTTAAATGACCTGCAACAATGTGAATTTTGAATTTTTTCCCGGTAATTATCAACCTTTGCATTAAGAACCGCCTGGAAAATCCAGGATCCGCAAAAACTCAGGAGCAACAGACCTGCTCCACTGATCCATTTACAAAAGTAAACTAGAATCAACTAACCTAGCTATCAAAAGTTAATAGACAGCTGAAATGAGGAATCAACCTAACTTCTGCAAGGAAAGCAGCGTTTCCCATAGCATAGTAATTAAAATCATCAACTAACTGTTGTAGGAGCAATCTGGACTCTCTTTTGCTGCCTTGATATATACGAGTGCAGCGCTCCTTCCAAATAATACTGAGACACCAGCACCACATAGCACCCTGCACCAGCCCTTTAGCTCCATTCTTTACAATTCTGCATATCCACTGTAATAAACTCTCCCACGATCTTGGCCAGAGACTCGAGCGAAAAATGGTTGCAAAAATCTGCAAGGAAAAAGAACACTTGCAGAACATAAATGTTCTGCTTTCCTCCTCACTGTCACATAACACACACATCGCATCAGTCACTTTCCCCCATTGTTTCAACTTATCTAGGGTAGTGATTCTGTTCAGAATTATCAACCCCGCAATAACTCTATTCTTTGGAATCACAAACTTATTCCAAATCACTTGCCATCATTCAACTTTCAGTTTTTTGGGTCGTATAGAATTCCAAACCTGCTGGATAGAGAATCGTGTCATCACCTTTCCTTCCCAAGTTACCTCGCCAGCTGCAGTAGTAGCAAACCAAAATTGGAACCAGCCGCGAATAGCCAAAAGCTTTCGCCATATCCACGAACCTGTCTGGAAGAAGATAGGTCCCAGATTGAAATTTTTGTTTACAAATTGGCGAGTTTATTATAATCTACAAAATGTTATCCATATTCGATATATTTTTAAGAAAGATTCCGTACCACCCATTATTATCTGGTACCATTTTTATTTTTAAATCAAATTTGGCATAGAAGGAATGGGTCGATTGTGATCTACAAATTTCTAGCAAATTTTTTTTAGGATTACCATCTTGGTATAGGGTAGTAAATGAAATGATGGTCGTTAGTTATGAAAAGTGGTAGGCGATAATTAGTATATTTTTATTATCATTTTATATAACTATTATATACTATAATATATTCAAATACTATCATGGTACATTTTAATACAACCGCGATATAATCTTATGTACTACCAAATATTATCATCATGGTATAGAGTGATAATATTTGCCTCAAAATTTTGTTTTAGAATATATCAAAATAAGTTTCTCATTTTAAAAAATGATAAATCTAATTTTTTCTGAGTAAAAATAATTATTTATATATATATATATATATATATATATATATATATGGTGACTACTTCGGTGCACTCACAAAAATGAGTGCGTTCAATGCACCCAATTCAAAAACTGGTCTTAAAGTGTCATATTTTGAATTTTAATTTGTAGAATTAGTGTAATATGATGATATAACATATGATAACAACTAATTAGCCGATTACCCTAAGCCCTAGAGCTCCAATTTGAGTTCTATTCCTAAATCTCAAATTGTAAACCCTAACCCTAATTCTAAATCTCTAAACTTTAAATCCTTCAAATTAAAGTAAATCTTTAATGGGTTTTGTGTAAATTCATGTGTGTTATTGTTTATCACATTATAAGTGATGATTGATATCATTTTGACATAAATCGAATGTTTAAAATGACGATTATGAAGCGAGTGCACCCAAAAAAGTGAGTGCACCGAAGACGCCACTATATATATATAGTTTTTGAACACCAACATATCATATTGGTCGTCGAAAAATGAATTTCCATAAAATATATACAAAATATATGGTGCCGATTGTCTTGCGCACATTGTTTCGTTTTTGGGATGGAAATCAGGCCATCAATATTTTCTTGCCCACACCAACACCAAACCTACTACTACTGCCATAATTACTAAAAATGTCCAGCTCGCTCGCTAGCCGTCTCCCTCCCATTTCTCTATTCCTTTTTGCCCATACTTTTCCTCTTTCCCCACGCACTATATAATCTACGTATATAAATCCAATCGAGATGCAACACAACATTCAGAAACAAACGAGCTCACGCTTTCGTCTCGAAAGTTCTTTTCTGTGGTCGCTAAAAGCAATCAATCTATATATAGCATTATAGCGACGAAAAGAAAAAATAGCACAAAATGGGTCGACCTCTTTCTGCTCCGTCTGCCTTGGCGCCGTTTCTGTTCCTGACGGCGTTTCTAATAAGCGTCGCCGTTAGTGGAGCTGCGGCGTCGAGGGCGGCCAACGCCACCCTGCCGGCGATTCTGATATTCGGCGACTCCATCATGGACACCGGGAACAACAACAACCTGGCCACCATCATCAAGTGCAACTTCCAGCCCTACGGCGTGGATTTTAACGGCGGCCCCACCGGCAGGTTCTGCGACGGCAAGATTCCCTCCGATATCATCGGTATATATATACAATCACGCTCCTTTAATTTCCATAGTTACTGAATACTCCGTTTAATACACGTATATGTCCCCGTAAGTATTTTATCCGTTTAAAACTTTCGTATCTTTATTATTGTCAAACCGTTTCTTTTTGTCCATTCATTTGATGGCTCCCGTATTAAACACGTATAAAATCCGTATACCATGTTTAATATCCGTATTTAATTAATTAAATTATTAACTTTATTATTATTTATTTATTTTACTAACTATGTTAATTTCTCTCTTTTTTATTCCGTCAACAATAGTAATCGATAGTGTCAAAAATTTGATCTGGGTTTGTTCTTTTTAGAAGCCTCGATCGGTCTCAAATTTTAATTGCTATGGGTAGTATATGTATGACACTTGAAAGTAATAATGAAGAACTCGTTTCTTTCCCATGCCGTTTCTTTTAATGTATTATTTGAATACCTATTTTTAATTCGTTACTCATCTTGGGGAATGAATGTTTTGAACCCCTTTATATAGAAAAAAAAAACTATATTTTCTTCATGGGTCCAGCCTTCGTCGTCATAATTGAGAGTGAGATCCCCTAGAGACTTTTGTTACATTCGAACTTGCCTTAATGATCTTGTGAACATGTTTTTGGGCACTTAATTAGAGCATAATTTTGATTAATTCGTCACTGTCGATCGAGTTGGGAAGTTTGTAGTTTAAAAGCACAAAGTTTGAACGATTCATTTCAATATGACGTACTTAGTTTTCATTAGGACGATACAAGTTAAGTTTGTAAAATTGAAATATAAATCATGGGTGCATCTATCATTTAATTCGAAGTTGGGATTGCTTATAGTATACTATTTATAATCAACAGTTTTATCTTATTTTTACTTGAAATTAATAGTCTTCCATAAATATATCGACGAAACACCTTAAGTTCTTGTAAAATGATGTTTTATGGCGTGACCCTGTGGTCGAATTGGTCAAATTATTACCCTGTATCGATAAAGAATATTCACACTTTGGGATTACTAAAATGGATGGATGGATGGATAATTGGAATTCTACATATACTTAAAAATATTTTTATCTATGGTCAGGTTAGGTCGGAGAAGTAAATTAGGGTAAATTGGGTAAAGATTGTGGACTGGACAGCCTGCATAGGAAGGCGACACTGCCCTGAATAGTTGGGCCCAATATTAAATTTCATGTTGACCCACACGTTCAGAAGGGGTGGCCCAATTGCCTCAGTGGTGCAGGCCGCTCTGTCTGGTGGACCTGAACACCATTTATTTTTATTAGGGCCATCAATTTTCATTTGGCCCACATTTTATTTCACTCTCATCAGGCTTCAACATCTTGGCCCATATACCCAGGCCTCACAAGTCACAAATCACAATCTTTCAAGTTTCTTTTCTTCTATCCTTTTATTTTCATTTTATATGAAAATTTATATATTTTCTTATTCAGATTTTAATAGGCTGAAAATAGTAAATACTTAATTGTTTTTGGAAAATTTTTTTTTTGGCGAACAAACAGCTGAACAATTGGGAATCAAAGGCAGCGTTCCTCCATATTTGGACCCAAGTCTCCAGCCCAAAGATCTATTAACTGGAGTCACCTTCGCTTCAGGAGGCGCTGGATTCGACCCTATAACCGCAAAACTAGTGGTACTTAAAGCCCATAATTTTTCTCTCCCTTCTAATGCTAAATAGTTGATTTGGTAACAAGTTTTTCATGTTGTCATTATCTCTTATGTTCCAAACGATACAGGCAGTTGTGTCACTGAGCCAACAACTCCAATACTTCGAAGAATACATCGCCAAGGTGAAATCAATTGTTGGGGAAGAGAGGGCAAACTTCATCATAGGTAACGCCTTGTATCTAGTGGTTGCCGGAAGTGATGATATCGCAAACACATACTTCACTCTTCGAGCGAGGAGCAACTACGATATTCCTGGTTATACCGACCTCATGTCTGATTCTGCTTCGAATTTTGTTCAGGTAAATTTTATAAAGAACATGATTTTTCTTTTTTCTGTGTTCTCGAAAATCTTGCTATTAAATATCCACCTTGTGTGCTTCCTCAACAGGAAATATACAAGTTGGGAGCCAGAAAGATTGGGGTGTTCAGCGCGCCTCCGATTGGGTGCGTGCCATCGCAAAGGACTGCCGGCGGTGGACCTATGAGGGTCTGCGCCGATAACAGTAACCAAGCAGCCATTCTTTTCAACTCCAAGTTGAAATCAAAGTTGGACTCTCTTCATCAGATGTTACCCAATTCAAGAGTCGTCTACATTGATGTCTACTCTCCCTTGTTACAAATCATTCAAACCCCTACAAAATACGGTAATGAAAAATACTTCATTAATCATATTGCTTGCCCATAAAGTTTTGAAGCTCCATTGGTATGTTTTAACACATTGGTTTGTTTCTAGGGTTCGAGATTTCGGAGAAAGGATGTTGTGGAACGGGTGCAGTCGAGGTGGCTATACTGTGCAACAAGTTCACTCCACCTTGTCCAAATGTCAATGCACATGTATTTTGGGACAGTTACCATCCTACTGAGAAGACTTACAGGGTTCTAGTTACAGAACTGCTGGATAAATATTCGAGTGACTTATTGGGTTGATCCATTTTTAAGTTTAATTTTACAAGAAAAGCAAGAGCTCGTCATTATTGTACCATTATCGATACATTCGAAATTTTATATGTAGTAGAGAAAAAAAATGGTCGTTTGCAATATGTTTCTGGTTGTTGACTACATGTTTGGTTTGTAACTCTTTTTTTTTTCTTTTCTTCTTTTCTTCTTCTTCTTGTTGGCTTGCACAAAAACCTTGTCATGGGCTATGAGTCGTTTGTGCCCGCCTGCCCGGAGAATGTCAACACTACACGATAAAAATCAATGAAGCACAAAGCAAGAATTTGTGCATTGGTTGATTGTTACAGTTATTTAAACCATTACATTTTGAATTTTCACGGTTTCAATGAAAATGCACGTTTAATTTGAATACACGCTAAGTAGCGTAAATACATAGTTTAATTCTCAAATTAAAAATGGTCTTGTTACACAAGAGTGTTCTGTTGCCTACTTTCATAGCCTACTTATATATAAATTAGTCCTCCTACACAATTACAATTCAATAAACCAATTCTCAGTTGTATTTACACAATTAAATTAGTCCTCCTACACAATTACACCCTCCATATGAGATCAAACTTGTCCTCAAGTTTGTATATAAAGAAGCATTAATGGGGGAAATGAACAAAGGAGCTCCTCAGAATCTTTAATAAATAAAAGATAAAAATATATAGTAATGATATGATGGGTGAATAAAATGAGTGTTGGGCCTCTCGTGCATTAATTTAATTAATTTTTTTCTTACTAACAAATTTGTTTTAGCCCATAAATGACACCCGCTCATAATACTAGTTAAAGGAAAGTTAGGCTCTTTGATGTATTAGTTTAATCAAGTTATTTTTGTGTTCTTTTTCAAATGAATTGTTTTGGCCCATAAGAACTCAGAAGTCCATAAGACAAATACAAGTGTTATGATGATAAATTGTGGCCCTGTACTGAGAGGCTTGCCAGGCCAAGGTCGGGCCTGCAAATATGGATGAGCAAGTGAAGGAGAGGGTTCCAAAGAGAATAGTAGATGATAGGTGATGATGTGTACCATATCTCCTATAAATCTCAGCTTCTGGTAGTTGTTAGTTGTTGTTAGTGGGCTTTGTAGCGCCTATTTCCACTGCTTCAGTTTCCACGTTTTGCTGCACAATCTGTTGCTGTTGTACTTTAAATACATTCTGTGAATAATAGAAACACATGCTTTTGAGCTCATTTATGGTATCAGAGCTTCCCTCACTCTAACGAGTATAACATTTGTTCCTCTGCAATTTTTATTCATCCCCTGTCTCCCAAATGACTACTGAGTCCGCCTCTGTTTCTTCAACTTCGTCCTCTGGTGACTCTGCTTCTGCTCCTATGCCTTCTGTCTCCCTCCTAGCCAATCCGCAATTGACCATCAAACTCACCCCCACAAATTACCTTCTCTGGCATGCTCAGATTACCCCCCTTCTCCGCTGCCATCAGCTTATGGGCCACGTCGACGGCACCACTCCCGCACCGCCGCTGTCTGTTGATGGTCGCCCCAATCCCCATTATTCTACCTGGTACATTCGGGATCAGTACGTCCTGACCTGGATCAATTGCTCGCTCTCTGAGTCTGTGCTGCCGCTCGTCATCAACAAATCCACTGCTTATGATGCATGGTCGGCCTTATCTATCATCTATGCGTCTGGATCTAAACTCCAGGTACGCCATTTGACCAAAGAATTGCAGAATCTTCGCCGTGGTGATGCTTCCATACACTCCTATCTTCAAACTGCCAAAGGGAAGGCCGACCAATTAGCTGTGCTTGGCTCGCCGGTCGCCAATGATGATTTCATTGCCTGGATACTTGACGGTCTGGGCGAGGACTATCGACCCCTTGTGCGTCACATTGAATCTCGTCTGGAGCCGATTCGATTCGAAGACCTGCACTCCTTGCTGCTGAGTGCGGAGAGCCAAATTCAACGCTTCTCCCTGCGTCCCGATTCCCCTGCCCCGACCGCGTTCTACTCCAGCGCCGGCGGTTTCCGTGGCCGTGGCCGAGCTTCGCCTCGCGGTCACTTTGTCTCTAACCCGCCTTTGTTGTCTGACAGGTCGAGCTCTGCCGTGGGCCCAACTCGGCGGTGATCATTTGCCATAACTGTGGTGGGCGAGGGCATATTAAGCCCAACTGCCCCAACCCACCATTTGCACCTCCGCGCCAGAACCCCTATTCTCAGCCCGCTGGTTCCACTAGCGCCAGCCACCATTTCGGCTCATCTGCTCACCCCCCAGGCCCACACACTCACTTTGCTTCCTCTCCGGCCCAGCCTCTCAACCCTCAGCAATGGCTTCTTGATTCCGGAACCAATCACCACTTGACCTCTGATTTGGATAATCTTGCTCATCACTCTGAATACAATGGTACTGACCAAGTCACCTTCGTCAATGGTAACTCCCTCCCCATATCTCGTTGTGGCTCCTCTCAAACTTCCTTATCCCATACGCCTATTTCCTTAGATAATATTCTTCATGTTCGAAATGCTCCATTCAACTTACTATCTATTAGTGCTCTCACTCGTGCTAATCCTGTCTCTATCGAATTTTTTGACTCTCTCTTTGTCATAAAGGATCGACGCACAACGAATGAGCTTTATCGTGGTTATGCGGTGGACGGCCTTTATTCTCTTCCTCTTCAGATTTTTCGTCGCCTTCCCCCTATTGCTTGCACCGCTACTTTCGATGTATGGCATCAACGCCTTGGACACGCAAATGAACGTGTTGTCAAGCAGGCTGCTTCTACTATCTCTCCCCGGTTTTCAGACCCAGCTCTCTATCGCAGTGTCGTTGGTGGCTTGCAATACCTCAGTTTCACACGGCCGGACATCTCTTTCGCCGTTAATCTTGTATCTCAGTATCAAAAGGATCCTACAGATGCTCATTGGGCTGCTGTTAAGCGTATTTTACGCTATCTCAAGGGTACTCTAACTCAAGGCTTGTTTATTTCTTGATCATCGACACGCGGTTACTCAGATGCATCTTGGGCATCCTGTCCCCAAGACAGAAAATCAATCACTGGCTTCGCCGTTTTTTGTGGGTCAAATCTGGTTTCATGGTCTACACGGAAACAGAAATCAGTGGCCCGGTCGTCAACAGAGTGTGAATATCGTGCTCTCGCCACCTTAGCCTCCGAAGTTCTCTGGCTTCGCTCCTTGTTACATGAATTGGGCCAGTCCATTCCTTCAGCCCTTGCTTTATGGTGTGATAATCTTGGTTCCACTTTCCTCGCTCATAATCCGGTTTTTCAAAATCGATCCAAACATATGGAGATTGAATTTCATTTCGTTCGCGATCAGGTCAGTAAAGGTCACCTACATGTTCACTATCTCCCAGCTGCTGACCAGCTTGCTGATATGCTTACCAAGCCGTTGCCAAGGGGATCCTTCAATCGGTTCTGCTCCAAGTTTTGCCACATGGAGCCTCAACTTGCGGGGGGCGTGATGATGTGTACCATATCCCCTATAAATCTCAGCTTCTGTTAGTTGTTAGTTGTTGTTAGTGGGCTGTTGTAGCGCCTATTTCCACTGCTTCCGTTTCCACGTTTTGCTGCACAATCTGTTGCTGCTGTACTTTAAATACATTCTGTGAATAATAGAAACACATGCTTTTGAGCTCATTCAATAGGGAGGCAACTCCTTTCCAATACAACCTTCGTTGAATTGGTAGACCCAAAAACCATCCTATTACAAGCACCACATAACCATCAATTCTGCATCTCATATTCGAATTCTGCATCCCAAATAAACCAATTCACTCACATGATCAAAACAACCTTATATGGCTCTTTAAATACAGGGCAGGCTCCTCTGGCGTAAGAGAGAATGATGGCCCAACAAAACTTCTTGGGAGCACCTGTTTACCCATAAAAATTAACCTTGTACCACATCGATTAAAAATTAGGAATTAAATGGCTTTATAAGGTCAACTTAATCATATCAGTTTAAATCAGTTGAGTGGGCCATGAGGATTCAGTTTTTGGGCCCATTACTCCGTGCCACCACGCGCGCCGTGCATATCCAAATTTGACTAAGTATGGGAGCCACCCCGATGACACGCAGAGGGGGGTGGGCATCATTCTGCCACCCCCATGACATGGTGAGGGGGGTGATGTCCGAATTTAGCTAAGGTGAGGGGAGAACATAGCACCCCCATGGTATAATCATATCAGTTTAAATCAGTTGAGTGGGCCATGAGGATTCAGTTTTTGGGCCCATTACTCCATGCCACCATGCGCGCCGTGCATATCCAAATTTGACTAAGTATGGGGTGAGGGGTCACCAACGCCAGCTCCCATGAGGATGATATAGTGGTGGGGTGATCCATATGACCCCATAGGGGATGCCCCCAATGGTATGGTGAGGGGGTCACCAACGTACACCCCCATGGTATGGCCAAGGCAAGGGGGTCATGTGAGCACGTGGTCTCTTTACTCTCCTATTGGTGAAATATCTTTGCCATTTTTAATTCATGTGATTCAAATACCCACCCATATGTGGCACGTGGTATTCCATCATTCCTTAGCCATTTTTTCTCTATAGACAAGCGAAGCTATGGAGGAGATACCAAGAGCAGGGGGTGATATCTCAAGAGAAGGGGGTCAGGGTTGAAGAAGGTGGCACATCCAACGTCAGGGTAACCGTCGAAGCAGTTGAGAGGGTAACCGCCACTCCAAGTCAGCAGAGCAGTTTCTCGAAGCAGTTACTTCTGGTGGCTATAAATAGGAGGTGAAGATGACGGAGAAAGGGTTCGCCAAAATCACACCAGACAACCTATTGTCAAATTTTATCCTTTTATCTTTACCTTTTCCTCTGCAAATGTAGCCATAGTTGTAGTTTCGGAGCTCTCGCTGAACCTCCATTGGAGTAGAATAAATGTAATTTAGTTTGCCTCGTAGATCACCAAGAACATGGAACACCCTTGTTTGAACTTTGTTCAAAGAGGTGTGGACCGTGTTTGTTAATCGTTTGTTTGGAAGTAAAAAAAAGGTGCAAAATTCAATTCTCTTTCCTTTATTTTTCTCGCCGGGAAAACAGCACCCAAACGCCAAACCAGTGATGGCAACGGGGCGGGACGGGCAGGTATCTCAATGTCCATGCCTCGTTCCAGGTTACCACGGGTTGGGGCGGGTAAAATCAGTACGGGTACAGGGTGGGGTGGGTCGATCCACTCTTAAATGTTATTCGAGAAAAATATACCCAAATTTTACTTTTCACGACAAAACGAATGATAAAACACTTTATGAATGAAAAATAGTGATAATAGAATGTATAATTGAATATAAAAAGTTGAAAGATCGACTCTAACTAGTTGAAGAAAAGTCAAACTAGGAGAAATATGGTGTAGATATTGTAAGAAATTGAGATAGAATGGACTAAGAACATAGCAGGGCGGGGCAACACAGGTCGAAAGTAGATACTCATTTCGCGCCTCACACTACTGCGAATCGGAAAAAACCGTCTCATCGCAAATCAAGTCGAATTATACTCACGGGCGAGTTTGAAATTGCCATCTCTACCAAACCATAAGAACAAAATTTAAAACAACCACTGAACACCAACACAGTAGAAAATTCGAAACAACCAGCTCTCCAAAATTTATGCACTCTAGAATATAGTCCTTGTTAACAGTTCGACTCTAACCAAACAATTAAGCAAGAAACGATAACACTCTATGTACGTGGTATCCCCGATGTTCGGGACTAATCCACGGGAGAGATGCCTCTCCAGCTGATATCTTATTCGTAGTGTGATCGAATGAGTCTCGGCTACAGTCTCATGATGAGTATATATACTTGCTCACCAAACCCTAACCCCATGCACGTGAACCCTTAGCCCTCTACACAGTTCCATGGGCTGAAAATGTACTTAATCCAACAGAAACCTACACATGAGATACATATATACAAATGGGCTTAACCCAAACTACTAATCCACTAACAGCCTCCCCCAAATTGATGCCACTCGTGAAGCATCAATTTGCTAGACAGGTACCAATGCCGGCTGGAAGAAAAGGCTTTAGTAAAGAGATCAGCCACTTGCTCCTCAGTCGGTAAGTAATGGAGAAGTACCACCTCTTCTCGAACCAGGTCACGGATGTAGTGAATATCTATCTCGATGTGCTTTGTCTGATCGTGAAGGATAGGGTTGACAACAATCTGGATAGCACTAGTATTATCCACGTATAACGACATAGGAGCCGGGCAGGAAACACCAAAATCATCAAGCAAACGGCGAAGCCAAACCAACTCCGAACCCACTTCAGACATCGCTCAATATTCAGCTTCAATCGATGGCTTGGACACCTTGTCTTACCTTTTACAGCACCAAGAAATGAAGGCCTCACCGAAGCGAACACACCAACCACTCGTAGAGCGACGAGTATCAATGCAGCCTGAAAAATCAGAGTCAGAATAGGCTTTGAACTTAACCTTCCCCTTCGAGGGAAAGAAGAGACCCACATGTGTTGTCTGATGAAGATACCGCAGAATATGTTGAATAGCAAGCCATGAACTGACTGACTACCTGAACTGCATAGGATATGTCAGGACGAGTATGACAAAGGTAAATCAAACTGCCAACCATAGAGCGATAACGAGAGCCATCGGGTAGAGGAGTGCCAATATCTCGCCCAAGTTTAACATTAACCTCCATGGGAGTAGATACCGGGCGGCTAGTATCAAAGTGAGTATCCTGCAACAGATCATCAATATATTTATGTTGGTTCAGGAAAATCCCATCAGGTGTACGAGTTACCTCAAGTCCTAAGAAGTACGACAATGAACCGAGCTCTTTAAGACTGAAGGCCTTATGAAGACCATCCGTCAATGCACGAATACCAGCATCATCATCACCAGTCACGACCATGTCATCAACATATATCAAGAGAATCACTAGACCAGCCGAAGACTTGCGAGTAAAGAGCGACGGATCATTGAGGCTTTGGCAAAGACCCAGATCCATAACAGTTTGTTGGAGCTTATCAAACCAGGCCCGAGGAGTTGCTTCAGACCATAGAGTGACTTATTAAGTCGACACACCTGATTAGGAGTACCATACTCAGACCCAAGAGGTTTCTCCATATAAACCACCTCATGTAGGTCCCCGTGAAGAAACTCATTCTTCACATCCAGCTGCAGTAATGGCCAACCCCTCATGGCAGCCACGGCAAGAAGAGTACGAACAGTCTGCATCTTCGCAACAGGAGCAAAGGTTCCAATATAGTCGATACCAAACTCTTGACTGAAACCTTGTGCTACGACACGCGCCTTATAGCGCTCGAGACCTCCATCCGGATGCAGTTTCAGATCATAGACCCAGCGGCTACCAATGACGGGAATGGGGGGCGGTGGACGGTCAACAAGAGTCCCAGGTGTTGTTGGCATGGAGGGCATCTTTTTCAAGATCCATTGCCGCCTCCCATTGTGGATGTCCACGAGCCTGCTTATACCTGGTCGGAATCACAACAACATCAACATTAAAAGTAACATAATCACGAAAGTGAGATGAGAGTTGTCCCAATGTAGAACGGGTAGACCGCTGAGGAGCAACTGGAGGAGGAGATGGCGAAGGCAAGGATGGCACCAAGGCAGACGACCCCGACGAAGCTGGACTGGCGGGCGGTGATGGTGGAGGGGACAGGTCGGGCAGTTGATCGGGGCCATTATCAGCAGCAAAGAGGTCTCCCGGATCAGTAGACTCAAACGACAAGGGACACAATTGGGAGACAAAGGACCGAGACTCGGAGGAGGACTCAAAGAAGGGAAGGTGCTCGAAAAACACCACATTACATGAAATACGTATACGATCAGTGGAGGGGTCATAGCAAACATAGCCATTGTGAACGGAACTATAACCCAGAAAGGCACACTTGGCAGTTTTGGATGAAAGTTTGTCACGTTCACGACGCGGAAGAAGAACAAAACAGGTACAACCAAACCCACGGAGACTAGCATAATCAGGATGACAAGAGAACAAGGCAAAATAAGGGCTCTTATCATGAAGAACAGACGTTACCTGGAAATTAATCAGCGGGACAGCAGTAGACACAACTTCAGGCCAGAACCGAGGTGGCACAGAAGACTCAAGAAGAATGGCCCTAGTGATTTCAAGGACATGGCGATTCTTTCGTTCAACTACACCATTTTGATGGGATACACCAGCACAGGCCTTCTGATACAGAATACCAAGGGCTCGATAAAGATCAAGCAGACTATTTGAGCTAAACTCGCCACCCTCGTCATATCGGACAATCTTAACAGGTTTATTGAACTGGGTACGAATCATGGCAAGAAACTCAGTAGCAATGGAAAGGAGATCAGACTTTAGGCGAAGAAAGTAAACCCAGACAAAACGAGTAGCATGGTCCACAAATAATGCAAAGTAGCGGTAGCCATGTCGAGAAAGCACAAGAGAGGGACCCCACAAGTCCGTATGAATAAGATGGAAAGAATCATCAATAACGGTCGTACTAGCAGGAAAGCTTTTTCGAGTAGACTTAGCTTCTACGCAACTAGTACAAGCAAGAGTGGAGGAACTAGAAACCATCTTATTATTTCCAAGCAACTGACATTTAAACATGGATACAAGCCGAATCGAATGGGGATGACCAAGGCGAGAGTGCCACAAATTGAAAGTTTGATCAACTACACTAGAAAAGACCGAACAAGAGAACATAGACTTTGACGGATGACTAGACACGGACAAAGACTGACTCGATGATGGATGATCCGAGAGTTCCTCCAAATGAAAGACACGCCCATGTTTACTCCCGTGCCCGACCTGCCTCCCCATCGTCTCGTCCTGTACAACACAACCAGATGGAGCAAACACAACCCGATATCCTTGCTCAGTAAGCTGTCCCACAGAAACAAGATTAGGAAATAATCGAGGAACGTGTAGGGTATTAGGAAGTGCAATAGTCGATTTCTGAAGACTACCTATACCCGCAATATTTAATTTTTTTCCATTAGAAACCTGGAGAGATATATTCTGAACGAGGGATACATTCTTCAAACAACTCGTATCACTCGTCATGTGATTAAAACATGCAGAATCTAAAAGCCAAGGTTTGAGTATACCTGTAGTTTGCAACGATGCAAACGCAGAACTGATGGCTGTGGGAAGAGAACGTTGGAGAGCAGCATTCACCAAGCCCTCAACAGCCTCGATAGTAAGTTGTGCACCAGGAGTGGTTACGGGAACGACAACTTGCGCCGCAAAAGGGACAACAACTTGCGTAGAAAAAGCTGGAGGAGAAGCGCCTGTACTCGAACCCTCAGACCGAGAACCACCATTATTCCTATGTTGAGCCTTCGCGGAGGGACAATCCAGAACAATATGATCGGATTTCTTGCAATAAACAAAAAAGTTGCGTTGTCGGCAATGCTTCTGAAGGTGACCCTTCACATGGCAATGGTGGCATTCAAGTTCGGAGATGGGTACATGTTGCTGAAACTGTGGGCGCCCAATAGCATAGGCTGGATCATAACCAGCCTGCGATCCTTGTGCAGCAACCGTAGCGGAGAAGACAGCTTCTCCTTCGCCAGGACGCGCGTTCAACTGGGACTGTGTTCGGAGGCGAGCTTCTTCACGCATAAGCTTCCCCAAAATTCCCTCCATTGTAAGCGTGTCTTGATTAACCAAAGTGGAGCGAACATATTCAAATTCCGGGCGAAGACGCATCAAGAATTAAAGAATCCTTTGTTGTTGACGATCGACAATGACCTCCGCAGAAGCTTGCGTGGAACGAAGAGCAGCTGTTAGCAAGTCTTGTTTAGTCCACAATTCTTGGGCAGCATTATAATACGTCGATACATCCATATCGCCTTGGGTAAGCCGATCAAGCCCAGTTTGCACCTCAAACTGTCGAGCATTGTTGTAGGAGGAATACGTTGTTGCGAGATGCCCATGTTAACTCTCAGACTGAAACTCCCAGACTGCGTAATTCTTGGAGTTCAGACGAATGACAAGACGATCAGAATTGCCAGACGAAAGCTCTGATACCATGTTAACAGTTCGACTCTAACCAAACAATCAAGTAAGAAACGATAACACTCGATGTACGTGGTATCCCCGATGTTCGGGACTAGTCCACGGGAGAGATGCCTCTCCAGCTGATATCTTATTCGTAGTGTGATCAAATGAGTCTCGGCTACAGTCTCATGATGAGTATATATACTTGCTCACCAAACCCTAACCCCATGCACGTGAACCCTTATCCCTCTACACAGTTCCATGGGCCGAAAATGTACTTAATCCAACAGAAACCTACACATGAGATACATATATACAAATGGGCTTAACCAAAACTACTAATCCGCTAACAGTCCTAACACGGTTCCTCTTAGGGTGGCAGTTCGGTTACCGGTTAACCGACCGATTAAACCGATAACCGATCGGTTATTCACTAACTGGTTACCGAAGTAGCCGAACTTTGGTCGGTTATCGGAGGCTGGACAAAATGGTTTGTGGACTTAAAAGTGGTTTGGTTAACCGATAACCGAGATAACCGAGAAATCGAAGACTATTTCGGTCGGTTTATCTAACAAACAAAAAAGTTGTTTGAATCCATCGTACTTGAGATTTGGATTGCAAACCCATCACTCCAATCCAACAAACAAACGGCATCTAAGTCTCGTCTATCCCCATTTAAAAACGTACGGTTTTACGCTTCTAGGTCACCAAAATACTTCTGTTTCCATGTAAAATCTTTAGTGCATAAAATCAGACTAAATTGCGTTCTAAAGTTTAAAAGCTTATGCTTTTAAACTTCTAGTTCACCAAAACGTTTTACGCTTTTAGTTCACTACATGAAAATCATTTTAAAAAGTATATTTTAAAGGTAAATCACGAACAATATGATACATTTGAGATTAAAAGATACATATAAGGTACTTGGATGCATTTTACGCTTTACAATTTTACCCCTTTTTCGCTTTTAGATATAATCACACTTTTAATTGAATCGGTTTAACCCATTTGGCCATTTTCGTTACAGAAAAATTTAAACCCAGAAAAATTTAAACCCCGTAATACAAAATTACTATGACTCTTACCCTTCCAATAAAATCATAAAATATTTCGGATAAGCACAAGGCTTTTAATTGCTTCAGACAGGATAACATGGCCAAACTAATAATGGCCGAAAAGTGACTAATAACTGCTGCTGATTAAGGAACTAATTCAATGTTATGTGACTAAAATCTACATTATGAGGTCTCTTTCTTTATTGCTGGAATTATTATCCTGGTAGCAGACAATATAGGAGTTGGGGATGTGAGTTGTTTTCCTTTTCTAACAAACAGAGCATATGGGCCACCAAGAGGACAGGCCCATTAATAGAGAAGCGGTTGGGAAGATTGTTGCCCAATGAGGCAATGAAAGTGATGCAATGAAAATGCTCGGGATGGGCTTTACCGTTGCAATATTTATTGCAACCAGCCTAACATTTGTTTAGTGGTTGCATAATGCTTAATGTGTGTCTAAGTGTATGAATTATTAGATATTATCATCAAGGAAATGGATCTCAGAAGGAAATTTATTGGTCTTACTACTTATCACTTACTTATCAACCTCTTTTCTAGGAATTAATCATAATTTAACCCCCCAATACCACTTCGTTCTACAAAACAACATCTTTGGAATCATCCTATGAAAAAAAAAACATATTTTGAATTTATGATTAGATCATCTACGGAGAGGGTTTGGATTTGTTTCAGAAACAAGACCAATGTCCATATGAAAGTAAAGTTGGGTAGGTAAGCCTAAATAAGCTTCGAAGATGATGTGAATGATAAGGTTAATACGTGTATGCAATGTAGTATCTCATGGATGAGAGATTTTTTTTTCTCCTACTAATATCATAGATATTTATGCCAATCATGACCGTGGCTGATTCTTTGAAAGATGCATCTATTTCTCTTGCCTTAACATCGTGTTTCACTTTGTTGGTAGCCACCATAGTAGTGTAGCCTTTTTTGGAAGTGCGACTAACTAAGACAAGTGTACCAAACAGATATAGAGTTGTTTAGATTCGAATCCCCCTAACTAGTAATCGACAATCAACCAAACACAATACATATATGATTTACTTTTCACAGACCGTAGGAATTCCTAAATTAGCATTAACCCGATTTTCTCGGGTATTAATACTCTATTAGTCGATTATACCTAGATCTGATATTCTCTTTGACATGGATTCATTTACCAACGCATTAATCAATCTTTGAATCCCCTCTATTAGGTTTCACCCTAATCCAGAAGTACCTCTAACTACATCTTCTAGTAGTTCGAAGTCCCTTATATCCCTAAGTACTGTTCTATCATGCATATAGGGATCTTCTTTTCGTCAGACACATGAAACATACAAGCAATCAAGATGTCAAATTCAATTGAAAGCTTGGAAGATAAAATAGAGACAAATCATATGAGAATAAACATCACATCTATATCAAAAATTTTAATCAATTAAGATTCAAAATGCTAGAGTTCATCTCATCCAAACAACAAGAGAGATTAGTTCATGGGGAGTGAGGAAAGGAACAAAGAAGATGAAGTATAGCTGATTTCCATCATGGGGTACTTGATCAATTGCTATAAGATGTCTTCTCTGGGGACTTGGTGGTGTTGTTGAAAAACCCCTCTCTTCACCTCTCTAACTCGTGTTTTAGGTTTAGGGTAACAAGTGGCTAGAGTCTCCTCTCGATTAAGCTTTAAAACACCTTAAATACTAAAGACAAATGCCCGCATACGGCCTTAGTCACGACCATGGGCCTACCCGTGAATGGGGTCCTTGCCCGATTCGAAATAGGAACGATGCGTCGTTTGGGGGAAGTCTGCAGCTCTTCATGGGTAGAGTTACGACCGCGAGGCTGCCCGTGAATAGCTCGACAATGAATTCTCTCGGGGAATTGAATGGAAATTTTACGGTCTGGCTCACGGTCGTGGGTCTACCCGTGAGTGCTTAGACACCTAATTTCTTTATTTTGTTCTTGTCTTTTCTCCCTCGTTTGAACTCTGAATCAGTCCAAGTTTGATCTCAGACGCTCGTATTCTTGTCCTCTTTCATCCTTTACTGTGCTTCTTGTCCAAATTGACTCGTCGTGGCCTGAAACACACCAAAATCACTAACCAAGCATAAAATTGGCAAAACACATAAATATTGTTGGAATGACCAAGCGAAGGGGCTTCAAAGGGATCTAAGAACATGTATAATTCACGTGTTGTCAATATCTATTTAAGTAATTAAGAAATACCTTTTTTATTATTTCCTACTAATATCATAGATTTTGATTTCAATATGATTCTGTGAAAGATTGCATCTATTTCTCTTAGTAATGCTTGAGCTATTGAAAATTAAGAAAGAAGTACCAGAAGTGAGAACTGTTGCTTGATTGAGATCCATATCATATTTCTTCTGTTTTATTTTCATTATTAGGGTTTCTTAATCTTAACATTAACAGGGTTAACATTTCTGATCAATTGGGTATTCGATAAACTTCATATTCCACTCTTCAACTCTTCAACCCACAACTCAAGGAAGAGGGCATAAGCAGGGGATCAAGAGTAAAAATGAAAAGGGGAATATAGATAACAATAGACATTTTTACCAAAACACAGTCAGGAAGGCCGAAGGTGGTACTTGTTTGCCATAGAAAGGATGGAAATGTTGCAGTACTCCTGTCCTGTGTACCCATAAAGGTAACTCTTGCTTGTGGAGTAATGACTCTGTTACATGTCCTATTTGTCACATTTCATTTTCGTTGGGATTGTTTTGTAAATTCCCTTTCTAGTCCGCGTAGCTTTGGTAGAAGCGGACTCTCTTCTCTTCTTTATTTAAGGGTTATGACTCTCGGCTGTAAACCCTAACTATCATCATCATAATCATATTGATCCTGAGAGTGAAAACTCTCCGTGGAATAGTCCCGTTCACATCGAACGGGGAAACCACGTAAATCACGCTTTGTCTTTACTTTGATTTTCGTTTTCTTCATGGTATCAGAGCTGTGATACGATCCCACAGCTTTCTCAAGCATGGCCGGTGAAGATCCCCCGATCTCTAGCAGTAGCAGCGACTCCAAAGCTGCTGTCTCATCGTCGCCCTTCTTTCTCAATCAAACAGCCCGAGTCATCTATATGCGAGCGAGTTGCTCACTGAGCTCAACTACAGTGAATGGATCGGTGATATCACTGATTCTCTATTGGCCAAAAACAAACTAGGGTTTGTGGATGGTTCAATCCCAGCTCCTACGGATCCAGCTCAACTCAACGCGTGGAAACAATGTGACGCCATGGTAAAAGGCTGGCTGAAGACGTCCATGAGTAAAGATGTACGTAGTAGCGTGCGCTTTGCCAAAACAGCTCGTGAAATATGGATGGATCTTGAAGCCAGGTTCGGCCATGGCAATGCACCACGACTCTACCAGCTGCGTCGCACGATCGGAGCTCTTCACCAAGAAAAATCCTCAGTTGCCGCATATTACACTAAGCTCCGTGGTTACTGGGATGAAGTTGCGTCCTTAGCTCCCTCGCTTGAGTGTACTTGTAACAAATGCACTTGCGATGTCCAGAGGCGTTCGCGTGAAGTACGTGAAGTGGAACGACTCTTCGATTTTCTCATGGGACTTGAGGAAGTCTTCTCGACAATCAAATCCCAGATTCTCGCTATGAAACCACTTCCGAGCGTTGCCGAGGCTTATCACATGATTGTTAATGATGAGCAGCAACGCCAAGTGGCTAACCTTCGTCGTCCGCAAGCTGAAGCGGCGGTCTTCCAAGCAAAGGGTGAACGCCGATCAGGTCTTGGACGCTCTCCATCGTCGGGTCAAGGGGAACGGGATGCTGACGGCCGCCCTTATTGCAATCATTGTCAGAAGTCAGGTCATTTTCGTGAGACTTGCTTCAAGCTACATGGCTATCCGCCAAAGTCAGGAGAGAAGCCCGATCAGCCCAAGAAACGCCCATTCACTTCGGCACCTAGGGCAGCTCAGGTGGACAACGCATCAAGTCCTATTCCGGGACTCACGGCCACGCAGTTTGCGCAATTGAAGTCTCTTCTTGAAGTTGATCCCCAAGCTTCCTCGTCCACGCCACTTGATCCCATCTCAAATATGGCAGGTATGATCTCTCTTTCAAAAGACTCGTGGGTTATTGACAGTGGTTGTAATGAGCATATTGTGAATAACCAGTCTTTGTTGTCCGAGGAACACGATCGTTCTCCTGTTCTTCAGGTTCGTATACCGAACGACATGGGTGTTCCAGTTCACAGTATAGGGTCGTCAAAATTATCTAATGATCTTATGCTTCGAAGGGTCTTACACGTGCCAGAATTTCAGTGCAACTTACTCTCGGTCAGTAGACTCACGGCTGATCTGCCGGTGGCCTTAATATTTCTCTGCGACTTTTGTGTTATTCAGGACTTACCCTCCAGGAAGCTGATTGGGATGGGACATCATCGTGACGGTCTTTATTATCTTCGCCTCTTTGACGGGACGCATGCGTTGGCCAATTCTGTTCGGCAGGCAGTTGATCATTCGGTTCTTTGGCACACACGCCTCGGGCACCCATCAGAGGCCAAGTTTCATCATTTGCAGAGATTCCTTTCGAGTTCAGTTATTCATCCTACTGAACCTTGTCATTCTTGTCTTAGAGCTAAACATACTCGAGCACCTTTTGTTTCCAGCACTATCCAGACAAAGAATTGTTTCGAGTTGATTCACATTGATGTTTGGGGTAGTTATAAAGTGGCATCTATGTCCGGTGCTCGTTTTTTCTTGACTATCGTGGATGATTTCAGCCGTGCTGTTTGGATTTTCTTATTGAAGTACAAGTCAGATGTTGCCCGCCACTTGCAGTTCTTTTGTAATATGGTTAAAACTCAATTTGGTAAGCGTGTTTGTCGCATTCAAGGGGATAATGCGCCTGAATTTGCTACTGCCGAATTGAAACTCTTTTATGAGACAGAAGGTATTCTCTTACAGACATCTTGTACTGATACTCCCCAACAGAATGGGGTGGTGGAACGCAAACATCGGCATCTTCTGGATACAGCCCGGGCTCTCCGGTTTCATGCTAATCTGCCATTACGTTTTTGGGGTGAGTGTGTTTTGACGGCAGCTTATCTCATTAATCGGATGCCTTTGGTTTCCATCGGCAATCAAACCCCGTTTCAGGTGTTATTCGGGAAAGATCCTTCATATGATCATCTTCGCAGTTTTGGGTGCCTGGTCTATGCTCGGGATAATCATCATGATTTACATAAGTTTGGCGACAGGGGGCGTGCAGGTATCTTTTTGGGCTATCCAGCTGCTCAACGTGGATATCGCATTTATGATTTGGAGCGCAAAGTCATCTATACCTCTCGGGATGTTCGTTTTCTGGAACATATTTTTCCATACCGCTCCGAAGAATCACCTGCTCAGCAAGCAGCCCGGGCTGCTCATCCTCACTTCCCTCCTTGTGTTCATGACGAGGAGGAGGACTTTTTTCACTCTCCTGTTGCTGAGCCAGCCTCTTTGGAATCCCCAGCTTCCTCACTTGGTCATTCCCCTCCTGCCGCGTCGCCCTTAACTCCGACCTCTCCACCATCTTCCATGCCCCGATCGCCTCCAGTCCCTCCTACTCATGATCCCACATCATCCACTCCTGCTCATGATCCCACATCATCCACTCCCAGCTTACACAGCCCCGGGTCCGAGTCTCCCTCTCCGCCGTCGTCTATCGGCACTGCTTCCTCACCCCCGGGCGCCTCTTCCCCTTCAGCTCCTCCGGAGCTCGCTCGCTGCCCTCCACCAGTTCGTAAGAGTACAAGGGTCAGCATCCCTTCTACTCGTCTGCATGGGTTTGACGTGACGTTACCCGGCCGTTCCCATGCATCACGTGAGCCTCATGCTTCTCAGGTCACGTACCCACTTGAAGATTACTTGCATAATCATCGTTTGTCTCCTGCGCATACAGCATTTGTAGCTGCTGTTACTCTCATCGAAGAACCCAAGTTCTTTCATCAAGCTGTACGTCATAAACACTGGCGTGACGCCATGCAAGCCGAGATCACAGCCCAGGAAGTCAATGGCACTTGGACTTTGGAGTATCTTCCACCGGGCATGAAGGCCATCGACTGCAAATGGGTTTTCAAGGTTAAATTCAAACCTGATGGGTCTGTTGAACGTTACAAGGCACGTTTAGTTGCAAAGGGGTTCACTCAAGTTGAAGGGATCGATTATCACGATACCTTTGCCCAGTAGCTAAACTTGTGACGGTACGTTGTTTGCTTGCCGTAGCTGCTGTTCGTGGTTGGCACATCCATCAGTTGGATGTGAATAACGCCTTCCTTCATGGTGACTTGACTGAGAAAGTCTACATGAAGGTTCCTCCCGGATTTTCTCGTCCTGGTGATACGCGAGTTTGCCGCCTACGCAAATCTATTTATGGTTTGCGTCAGGCCTCTCGTAATTGGTATAAGAAGTTCACCCAAGCTCTTCAGGAACTCCAGTTCACTCCCAGTCGAGCTGATCATTCTCTTTTTGTCTATCGTCAGGGGGCGGTATTCGTTGTTGCCCTAATCTATGTTGATGATGTCATTCTCGCTGGCACCGACATGGGTTTCATTCAACGGGTCAAGGATTTTCTTCACGCCCGTTTCACTATCAAAGATCTCGGTCCCCTGAAGTATTTTCTTGGTATTGAGGTGGCTCGCTCTCCGCAGGTTCTCGTTCTTAATCAACGCAAATATGTCTTGGACATATTAGCTGATTCTGGTATGGAAGCCACTCGTCCATGTGCTACTCCCATTGAGCAGAATCATCAGCCTGGTCGATCTCCCTCTGCACCTGCTCTCGATCCGGCATCTTATCGTCGTTTAGTTGGTCGTCTGTTGTATCTTACGGTCACTCGTCCGGACATCACCTATGCTGTCAATGTTCTCAGTCAAGCTGTTCATGCTCCTACTCAGGCCCACATGGATGCTGCATTCCGTGTTCTACGTTATCTCAAAGCATCCCCGGGGCGTGGTCTTTTCCTTCTTGCCTCTGGTTCACTTTCTCTGACAGCTTACTGTGATGCCGATTGGGGAGGTTGTCCTCTCACACGGCGATCTACTACTGGTTATTTTATCACTCTCGGCTCGTCTCCGGTTTCTTGGCGTACTAAGAGACAGTTGGTCGTTGCTCGTTCCTCTGCTGAAGCGGAATATAGGGCCATGGCTACCACTGTCAGTGAACTGATTTGGCTCCGTTGGCTTCTTCGTGATCTGGGTGTTTGTCTGGACACACCTACTCCTCTCTATTGTGACAATCAGGCTGCTCTCCACATATCCGCCAATCCTGTCTTCCATGAGCGCACTAAACATGTGGAGATGGATTGTTATTTTGTGCGGGAGAGTGTTCTCTCTGGTGATATTGCCCCTCTCAAGATCTCTACATCCGATCAACCGTCCGATCTCTTTACCAAGGGTCTCACGGTGGATCAGTTTGCTCATCTTCGTGTCAAGCTCGGCATGATTGACATCCATTCCTTCGCTTGAGGGGGCGTGTTACATGTCCTATTTGTCACATTTCATTTTCATTGGGATTGTTTTGTAAATTCCCTTTCTAGTCCGCGTAGCTTTGGTAGAAGCGGACTCTCTTCTCTTCTTTATTTAAGGGTTATGACTCTCGGCTGTAAACCCTAACTATCATCATCATAATCATATTGATCCTGAGAGTGAAAACTCTCCGTGGAATAATCCCGTTCACATCGAACGGGGAAACCACGTAAATCTCGCTGTGTCTTTACTTTGATTTTCGTTTTCTTCAGACTCCAACTAACTTGACATTAAAATGGGGCAGCCAGCCATTGCATGTTCGTTCATTCATTCGAGTGTACCAAAATTTCCAAACCCCTCCTATACGATCGTGATACGTTGGGAAAGTTGACATGTTAAACAAATCAACGTGGCTAGTGGAAAGCCAAATCTCATTAGTATATTAGAGTTCATATACGTATAATAAATTCTCATGAAAGAGCCACATGCAAAGCCAGTTTCTCAAGTTCTTCACCGCAAGCAAAATGTGGTTCACTGAACTTTCTTACTTGCACTACCGGTGATATCAATTTAGGAATGAAGTGTGAGAAAAAGAGCTATTTGAAGTTACTTGGTCATGTAGCATTAAGAGGAATCAATCGAGAAAGACACAAGATAAACGCGATTTACCTAGTTTTCTTAACGACTATCATTGAGACTAGTATACGATACACTGACGGAGTTTGATGTTGTTTTTCGTAATCGTACGGTTCAGCTATGCGCATATATATATATATAGTGACTACTTCGGGGCACTCACTTTTTTGGGTGCACTCAGTACACTCAACTCTAAAAGCGTCCATAATACATCAATTTTGAACTTTAATTAATACTCTCAATATAATATGATGATATGACATAGAATCATAACAAATCAATCCATTACCCTAACACCTTAACCTTCAATTTTGAATCCCAACCCAAAATCTGAAATTGTAAACCTAAACCCTACCCCTAAATCCCTAAATCCTAAATCCTTCGAATTAAAGTAAATTTTGAATGAATTCTTTTCAAATTCATGTGCTTCTTGTTCATAATATCATAAGCAACAATTGATACCGTTTTGACATGAATCGCATGGTCATAATGACAATTATGAGGCGGGTGCACTGAGTGCACCCGAAAAAGTGGGTGCACCGAATACGCCACCATATATATATTATAGCCAAACTCCCAACAGTAACTTAAGCAATTACCATATAATTAATTTACTAATTACAATACAGTACATAAACTTTTAACACACTTTCTCGAATTAATTGTGTTGTTGCTACATTAATTTTTACTTTTAACACACTTTCTCGAATTAATTGTGTTGTTGCTACATTAATTTTTGAGCAAGAAACAAACGACAGGTCGAATAAACAGCCTTGGTCGGTACATCAAATGTATGATGCTCCGTGGTGATGTGAGAAGATTCCACCGAACCCTCAGTGACAAGTTGACGAACCACGATATTGTAGATGCACCACGATATGCCTTGTCCGGTCATGCAGTACTGAGTTTCCTTGATATTTGTATTGCACTTGTATTGTCAGTAATCGAATGAGAACTTGACACATTAGCCCCATTCAATCAACAACCGCTAGAGCCAAACTATCTATAACGTGGCTTCACTCATCGAGCGATATTCAGCCTTCGTCAATGACTTGGCTACGTGATCCTGCTTCTTACACCACCATGAGATGAAAGAACTTCCCATGTAAATGCATCATCCTTATGTCGACCCCTATGTGTCTAAAGCATTCAACATAATTTGTATAAGAATATGCCTCAATTTTAGCATAAAACCAACCGGTGCCAGCTAAAGTCATTATATTTTATGCATCTTTTTATCTACTTGTTAGCCGCCAAAATCCAAGTGCTCACATAAAAAAAAAAACTTATCAAATCTCGTTACTTTACGAGGGCTGTTGTCAATTGAGTGACGATTTCAACCAAGACCAGTTCTGTTTGGGTCTTCCTGGTCTGACCTCAAGCTAGGCATTTGTAGTTTACCACGACACTTCATTTGCTCACAATCTTATATTCAATTGCTTTAAATTGCTAGAAGTTTTGGCAATGCCACTAGGGACATTCCATGGTCAATGTGAACTAATTCAACGCAATTTACATAAAGATTAAACATTTTATGCACAAAACACATGTATGTTTATGAAGCTTATTATTAGTTTTCTGTTTCCTTCCATGAATAGTAAGTGCGGGTAATAAATGGTTGGGCTAATACCACTACAACACCTGAACTATCCGGAAAATGCCACTTGTGTCCTATTGTTTCCAATATTCCATTCATGTCCTGAACTATGATACTTTGTGTCATTTGTATCCTGTCAATTTCGTTGACCGTTAAAGATAACGGTTGACCAAACGGTGGTCAACGCGAAGTTGACTTTTGTTGATGTGGCAAAAAATGTGGCTGCCACATAGATGCCATGTCACTGATCTCATTTTTTTATATAATATATATTTTTTATTTTTTAATATAAAATGAATAAAAAATAAAGGATAAAAAATCTATGTAGCTGCTCCTCGATGACTTCATGCTTTCTTTTTCCCCGGCGAGACTTCACTACTCAATTCGATCCCTAGTTTAATTGATCTAATTCGAACAAACCAAATCAAGGAACAGAGGAAGGAGCAGAGCAAAAACATCCATCATTCACCATGGAATCGCCGACAACTTCACCCCAAATTGAGTATCGAGAAACAAGAACGATGAACCCATAAATCGATCAAACAAAATAGATTTACCTCAATCAAACCTGTTTTTAACTATTCGACCTCAATAAATTAAACCCAGAAATCAACAAAATAGATTGACTAACCCAGAACACATCGACGAACAAAAACGAGGAACCCAGAGAACACTGAACCAGAAAGACGAACCCAGAACACTGAACAATAACGACGAACCCAGAACGACAAACCTAAAACGACGCTAGCGAGGTGATCTGCCGCGCACGAGGGAGGAGAGAGAAGGGCGGGGAAGCAGATCCGGCTCCGACTGCTGTGGGATTAGGTTTTCCGGGAATAGACATTAGCGAATTAGGTTTGGGAAGTGGCGGCGCGGAATAGAAGAAGCAACCTCTCTCGACGAACTTCTTCGCTTTGATTCCGTCTCCGACTTCTCTTCGTATCCGAAGTACAATTCTTACGGTTGTCGGCAGAGGAAGAGCAGGAGAAGGAGGAGATTTTGGGCCGGTGGATTCCAGATTTGCGATGTAGCAATGGGTTCCTCGCAAATCCAGACCGATTTGCAATGTGAACCGGGGAGAAAGGATTGAGGGGGTGAATGGTGGAGATGAAACGTTTTTATTTTAATTTTCATTGTTTTTTATTTTAATTTTTATTAAATAAATTAAAATTCCACGTCATGTGCCACATCAATGCTGACTGGACTTTCTGTTAAAAACTAACGGTCAAAACGAGTCAACTTTAACAGAAAAATAGGTCAGGACATGAATGGAATATTGGAAACAATAGGACACAAATGACATTTTTCGGATAGTTCGGAGTGTTGTAGTGGTTTTAGTCCTAAATGATTTATACGTAGGTAAATTATTGAGATAATCCGCTCTAAAATTACACTGTGGGTAAAACAAGCGTAGAATTCTTTGGATAATCAAACCGTGCCAACCGCCAACAAGGTCAAGAAGATTTACAATTGTAGTAGAACATCCATCGGGATTTTCCAAAACTAAGACTACCTATGACTTTTGCAACATTAGCACGATATGACTATGAGCTGGCTTTTAGCATGGCTTCGCACTTGGTAGAGAATAGCATAAGCGATTACCAGCATTCAATACAGCCACAATCGTACGATGATTTTATTGAGTACCTACCACCAGCATGTTACAATCTATCTACAGAAGTTATCATACTGGCCCCAAATTCCAGCCTTAAATTCTTCAAGAAAGAAACGAAAGCCAAATTGGACAATCGACGAAACAGGGGAACTTGCTTTAAGTCAATGGATACAGATACGCTTCATTAAGGAAAAATCAAAACCCACTACAGTTTCCCTTTGCCGACCCTCCATTAATGAAGCGCCAGTACGATTACTCCATGGTCCCTCCAATTTATACACAAAGTTCGCAGCTTTCGTTTTGCCAGAGTAAACCCCAAAAAACAGAGTGTGCTGAGAGTGAAAGCCTTACTCTGTTTTTTTACTTTTTATTTTTTTGTTTACAAACAGAGCAATGTCGAGCCCATCGATTCCCTTCTTCTCATTTGCCGTTGTGGGTTTGATCCTCCTCTTCGCCTCCGGACCCGCTTCCGCCCGGATTCAAATCCCGGCCAACGAATCCGTGCCGGCGGCTTTAGTGTTCGGCGATTCAATCGTCGATACGGGGAACAACAACAAGATCCTTACTTCCCCTGCTAGATGCAACTTCCCGCCCTACGGCAGGGATTTCTACGGCGGAGTTCCCACCGGAAGATTCTCCAACGGGAAAGTCCCGTCCGATTTCCTAGGTTCGTCTAATCGTTTCAATTCATCAAATTCAGAATTCCCTTTTGGTTCTCTAAAAATTGGGTTTCCTCTGTTTTCCTTTTTGGGCAGTGGAAGAGCTTGGGATTAAGGACACTCTGCCGGCGTACAAGGACCCGAACTTGACGCCGGAGGATCTACTCACCGGCGTTTGCTTCGCTGCCGGCGGTGTCGGGTACGATGACTTGTCGTCAAAAACCGCGGTATAAATGCAGAATTGAAGTCTTTACTTCTGTTGAAAATGACAAATCATAAATTCTTCATACGAGTGGAAGTTAGTTCGTAAATTTAAGTGTTGGTTTGTTTCTCAGTCGGTGCCGCCATTGAGCGAACAGCTGAGAGAGTTCAAAGAGTACGCAAACAGGGTGAAAGCTATGCTTGGAGAAGAAGCGACGGCCAAGTTCTTGGCCGATAGCGTAGTTCTAATCGTTCTGAGTAGCAACGACATAGCCAACACTTACTTCAACTCTCGCCTGAGGGAGCTCCAGTACGACTTCCCTACTTACGCCGACATTTTGGTCAAAACCGCTACAAAATTCGTTATGGTAACCATATGACATCTCGAAAATATTCATTTTTGACGTTTATGAATTTTTTCAATCTGCTGGGGTCAATAAGTTTGCGTTTCATTGGGATGGAAGGATTTGTATGCGGTGGGGTCCAAAAGAATCGGAGTGTTTGGAGCGCCGCCGCTCGGGTGTATTCCATCTAGCAGGACGGTGGCAGGCGGGTTAGAGAGAAAGTGCAGTGACAAATATAATCAGGCGTCGCAGTTGTTCAACTCCAAATTATCAGCGGGGTTGAATTCTTTGAAGGGAAACTTGGACGTTTCTGCTAGAGTCGTCTACATCGACGTCTACAATCCTCTCCTTGATGTCATCAACAATTATCAATCTTATGGTGAGACATTCGCATTCAATTGAATGTTAAACTAAAAAAAATTTGTCATCAAATTTAAGGATAGACACTTTAAGAGCTTATTAACAAATTAGTCATCCACTTTGTTTTTCACTCAAATATATATATAAATAGGTTTCGAGGTGGCGAACAAAGGATGCTGCGGGACAGGGACAATCGAGGCATCGGTGTCGTGCAACAAATACAGCCCTTTCACTTGTCCCGATGCTTCCAAATATGTCTTTTGGGACGGCTACCATCCGTCGGAGAAGGCCTACAAGCTTCTCGTCAGTCGGGTTCTTACCAAGTACGTGCCGGAACTAATGTAGTAGTAGCACAGTCGCCGACCGACTTCGCCGGCCGGAATCAGGGGAAAGACTTTACTATATAATATATGATATGGTAATATATTGAAGACTGTGTAAAATGATTGATTGGTCAGTCAAACTGTCAGGCGATTCCTTGTCATGTGATTGATGATGAACTGGTGGTGAAGAATGACTGACTGAAACATAAAAACGAGAGGGAAAGAGAATTTTATATTATTAAGTGGGCCGGAAAATCATGGACATTGAATAGGCTTTCTGTTATTTTGCTGCCTCTTCACTTGTGGGCTTGTGGCGTGAACCATTCAGTTTGAAAAATAAAGAAAGACAAATTCACTACAGGGTGAGGTTAGGAATGACAATGAGTCGGGTTTTGTCAAATTCAAACTCATGGGTTTATCAGTCAAAAAATTTTGGGGTAAAATTCATTAGGTTTGGACAACACCAATTTAGAAAATTCAAACAAATCGCAATTATACTAAATAAAACCACACGGAATAAGTGTAGTGAGAGTTAGATTGGGGGAAATTAGAATTAGGGTAAGGTTTAAGGAGAGTAGGCCGACGAAATAAGTGTGGGCAAGTATCCATGAGTCGGGTATCTCTAAACCTGATGAATAGTGTACGGGTTTAAACCCGAACCCGGCTCAAAATCCGTCAACACGAATTTTACTCGCGTTGACCGGATTGGGTCGGATAGAATACCCGTGGGTTCGAGTTTTATTGTCATCCGCTATGAATCATAAACAAAAGCCAAGGTCGAACATTGAGTAGCGTGGATGTTATTTGTCAATGGTACAATATCTAGAGTCAAATCAGCAGACGAGCTGCATTTTGATTATGGTTGACAAAAAGGAGAAATATACAACAAAAATACATAACTTTGTATACAAAGACATTTCTCAAGACATTAACCCTTTCTGGCACTCTTTATTTTTCCATATTATATTTTCGATAGAAATTCCACTGCAAATCTGCAAAACACGACTACACATTTCTATTCATTATATGATATAATGAATAGAGTACGAAATTTATTAACTTGTATGACTCTTATCTAGCGACGTCATTAGTCTTACCAAAATCTTCTCAATTTCAATAGTGATTAGCATTTTATTTCATTTTGAAGTTTATTTATATCTTTCATTATTTTGGATGTCAAGATTTTATAGGCCTTCTCTGTGAGATGAACACTATCCCAAAATATGTAATTTGAAGCATTGGTACACGTCGAGCTCAAATGGTTGCAAAGAACCGCAAACTCTAGCTCCCCTGTCCCACAGCACCCATCCTTCACATCAACAAACCCTGCAAATTGACCCACGTACAATTAAACCAAACTCAATCCCTCAACACAATTTAAGAGAAAAATACACTAAGAGTTGTACTTTAACGTAAGAACCAGTCACACTCAATAACTTTAAGTTACGTTTTTTTTAGAAATTTGAAGAATGACTTTTAAAACATTTCTTTATATATGGCTTGAAACGAAAGACAAACTATGACCTTTGAAATCTATAGAAGCCCACTATCGGCTGTTAAAATTGGAGTTGAGGTAGTGAAAATTTGAACTGGAGACCTATCTATCGATGTGTACGTATGCTTTGCATCTGTCCTATAACTATTTATCGAGATATCATGCATGCTAATTAATTTCGACGATAATTTAAAGTTCATACTGACTCACCGTAATTCTCAGGACGCTGAATGATGTCGAACAAAGGAGTGTACACGTCCAGAAACGTGGTGCTCAAGTTAGGAAAACGAGCGTCGTCCCTCAAGCGTTCGAGTTCATAGCCAAGCTTCTCGTTGAACATGATCGCCAAATCGTTGGACTCCTCGAAACACGGCCTTCCAATCCCGCCGAATACAGTTCTGGAGGCGGGGACACATCCAGTCACTATCGTACTCAGGTGGGCGATCTTGCGAGCTCCTAGACCGTGCAATTGCCTGATAAACGTGGAAGCCTGGCCGACGAGAAAGTTGGCGTATGAATCCATGTCCGACGACTTTCTCCTGGCCAGAAAATAGGTAGCTCCGACGTCATTGTTGCCGGCTGATATTACGTAAAGACTGTTCTCTATGATGGCTTTTGATTTCTGCTCTCCGACTAGAGTTCTCAGCTTTGCCATGTATTGTCGAAAGAGGTTGAGTTGGTTCGGAATCGATGGAACAGATGACTGTTACAAATATTTCAACGTAGGGTTAAAAACTACATGCATGTTATGTTTATCCAAGGTGTACTGAAAGGAGAATATAAATCAATTAGGAGCCGTCAAAATCGTGATTCTACATATATAGAAGCGTTTTAGTGACCTAGAAGTGTGAAATCGTAAGCTGATGAGTTTTAAAGCGTAGTTTTTTTTAAGGAACCATAAAAAACCTACGCTTTAAAACTCATCCGCTTACGATTTCGTGACCTGAAAGTATAAATCCGTCAAAATTTTAAATTTTTAAACTACGATTTTGACTAAGGAACCATTAACAAGAAGTTGAGACGACAAGATCTTAACGGTTAACATTGGCGTTTCGGGATCATAACCGGAGCCAGCAGAAGCAAAACACACTCCGGTGACAAGATCTTCAACTTGGAGATTCGGATCAAGATAAGGCGGTAAAGAAGCTTTGATTCCCAAATTTTCACCTGCCAAATGAAAAAAAAAAAAATAAAACAGGTCTGATTCCTCTGATTAAATCCATCTTTTTTCCACGCCAAATTATATGAAGCATTATATTACCTATGAAGTCCGAAATAAGCCTCCCATTGGAGAATCGGCCGGTGGGTAATCCTCCAGGGAAATCCTCTCCGTAGGGATGGAAATTGGACTTAACCAAAGTTTCGATGTAGTTGTTGTTTCCTGTATCGAGAATGGAGTCCCCAAATATGAGAACCGCTGAATAAGCTGCACTGCTAACTGTGACGTTTTCGGGGACCATTGTTTTCGTGACGGCTTGGCAGAACAATAGAGGACCAGTGGTTACAATAAGCAGGAAGAAGAAGAAGTTGATGAAGAAGATAATGGATTCGAGAGAAACTCTGTTGGAAGCCATGATTGTTTGCTCTTCTTGACTAGTCGATCGGATCCTTCGTCGATTCTCACCATCGAGCTGTACCTATAAAGAGGTAAAAAGCTGATGTATGAAAAATGAAATGCATGTATAGTTGCCGCCTGATCGTCTAAAAAGACAAGCGGTGGCTCTGCCAACTACTAAAATAAAAGCTCCTGATTCCGCCAAAAGAACAACATTGAATTTCAGTGTCCTCGTTATAGTTTCCTCCAACAGATCAAAAAGAAAGACCTCGGTCCAAATTTTTTAAAATCGTATTTGAGATCATTCGAAGTGAACTAGCGTAATGGTACTTAGTAGAATAATATATTGGTGGTGTAAACCCAGAATGTGAGAAGCACTCAATAAGAGATTCTGATTTAAGCTCTCTGAGATGATCTCTTGTAAAGAAAAGAAAGCAATTTTATTGATTTTGAAAAGACAGAATACAACTGCACTGTGAACCCTAGTCAAGCCAAGTAGCTTGGCTCTTTGAATAACAACACTCAACACTCCTACTTCCCAAGATTCAAATCACCCAGTACACACTCACACACTGTGATTCAATCTACTGAAGTAGCTACATCAATGGACCCAAATTAGAAGAGTTTAACATCAAACACTCTCGCTACAGACTGCCAAGTTTGAATTGGAGCTAGAGGCTTACAATTTATAGAGCAAGATAGTGGATGTTCAGCAGGTGACTGTTTCCTAACAGGAGATCTCCATAGCCTTCATCATTTGCCAAGATAGAGACGGTGCTAGGTAGAGCAAACTGGAGAAGGCTGCAGTTTCTTGTGAGAGAGGACGATCGAGAAGAGAGATCATCATTAGAGGAGTTCTCTCTCAGCAGTTGTGGTAAACTTCGAAGGACGATACATCGAAACGTCATTGTTGCAAGTTGCTTCTGCAGTTGGTTGGAACGACACCGTTTTCTATTGGAATGACACCGTTTTCTATCTATTAAGCGCTCCTTTTCTGATTCTGAGTCAGTAATTACCTGGTAGCATGAGGGGGGTAGTTGATCATTGTTGGTTGAGGATCGACTATCACTTTCACTTTTGGTTGCAAAAGCCATGTACGCCAGGTTTTTTACCTCTTGTTCATCTTCTGAGCTAAAGTCGCTCCAGGAAGCTGCAAGTGCCTTCTCCTTGGCTTTGGTGCTTGTGGGACATTTTGATCGCATATGACCTGGCTTTCCACACTTAAAGCAGATAGTTAAATCCCTCTCATTGGAAGACCTATTGTTTTCCTTATCAATTCTGAACCTTTCTCGAGCTTCTAAGAATCTATCATAAGACTTTGGAGAATTTTTCTCAAAATAAGATCTATTTTATATATATCTTTCATTTGTCTTAGTGGGGACTCTTTTAGTTCCTTCACTTTCTCTTTTATAGTCAGGAAACTTATTGTTAAAGCCTCTGGAGTCATGATATACCCTTTTTGTCTGAAAGTCCTTCTTCATTTTGAGCATGCGATGAAATTTCCTACTGGCAAGGGCAAATTCTTTTTCAAATTCCTCTCCCATGTCTATCTCAGAATCGCTATCGTATTCTAGAGCCTTAAAGGCTATAACTTTTCTCCTCCTATGATCTTCTTTGTTCATTTGAATCATAACTTCTTCATGACTTAATAAAGATCCTACCAGTCTTTCAATAGACAAAACATTTAGATCTTTAGCTTCTTCAATTGCAGTGCGTTTAGGTAACCATTCTCTAGGTAGGCATCTTAGAATTTTACTAACTAAATCCTTAGTTTCAAAGAATTTTCCTAATCCTTTTAATCTATTTATCAAGTCATTGAACCGTTTATATACATACTAGAGATTGATTCTCATGAACTCATTCCAAATGATTCATACTCATTCAGCATGACATCAATCCTACTTTCTTTAACCTCAGACGTACCTTCATGGGTAGTCTGAAGAGACTCCCAAATCTCTTTAGCTGACTCGCATTGAGCTACTTGACTTCTTTCCTCTGGACACAACGCTGAAAACAGGATATGCATAGCTCTTGAGTCAAGATGAGAAGAGATCTTCTGCTCCTCTTTCCAATCTTCTTCGTCTTCATCCTCCATAGGGACTGGTCCCTTCCTGACAACTGCCCACAATTCTTCATCAAGTCCACGAAGATAGATTCGCATCCTCTTCTTCCAGACCGTGTAGTTCGTTCCATCAAACCACGAGGGATTTGTATTTGCGGAGTAAGAGACCGCGGTTGACGAAGACCCAGACATCCCAAGACCTTCTCTTTGGCAATGGTTAATCCTTCAAAGAGTAGGCTCTGATACCAATTTTAAACCCAGAATGTGAGAAGCACTCAATAAGATATTCTGATTTAAGCTCTCTGAGATGATCTCTTGTAAAGAAAAGAAAGTAATTTTATTGATTTTGAAAAGATAGAATACAACTACACTGTGAACCAAGGTTGTCAAACCCGACTCTGACCGGCCGGTCCGACCGGGTTGGGCCAGAACCGGACACAAAAGGGGCCAGTGCCAGCCATATTCAGAGCTAGCCGGCAACCGGTCAAAGCCGGTCAAAATCAGTCAAAATCGCGGTCTGACCGGACTTATCCGGCTACCGGTTAGTAATGAAACGACGACATTTTGTGCGGGGAGGAAGGGAAGGAAGCGGCGGACGGTTGTAAGGGGATAGGAGGAGAAGGAAGATGAAAACTAGCGCGGCGGCATTGGAAAATTTCTACCGATGTTTGCAAAATGCTTTGGGACGGACGAGACTCTTGTGTTTCTGAGGCGGTGAATGGGGAATAGTTTTCCTCTCCCGCACAGCGACGCCGCTCCCCCGGCGGTTTCTGGGCCGGCGGAACCTTCTCCACTGGCGACTGCGTTATGGGCAGCAGCTGCTGCTTCTCCACTGGCGATATGGTTGTGGGTCGGGGGTTCCTGGGTTGTGGACGGCAACTGCGTTGTGGGCGGCTGCTGCGTTCCTCTAGGTGGCAACTGCTGCTTCATCTCTAGAATTTCTATTTGAAGTTTTAGGGTTTGTTAGGCTCAAAATGTGATGAGGGTTTTGGTTTTATTTATATGGGCTGAAGTAATGGTTGTGACAAAATGGCTCCCATTTATTTCTTTTCATGGGTTTCGGCCCAAAACCTATGACAAAATGACTCCCAATATCCATTATCAACATATACGTTCAAAACCGGTTTAAACCGTCGAACCCCGATCCAACCATTAAACCCTAAACCCTTAGCTAAACCGGCTTGACGACTTAATCCGGTTTGACAACCTTGCTGTGAACCCTAGCCAAGCCAAGTAGCTTGGCTCTTTGAATAACAACACTCAACACTCCTACTTCCCAAGATTCAAATCACCCAGTACACACTCATACACTGTGATTCAATCTACTGAAGTAGCTGCATCAATGGACCCAAATTAGAAGAGTTTAACATCAAACACTCTCGCTACAGACTGCCAAGTTTGAATTGGAGCTGGATGCTTACAATTTATAGGGCAAGATAGTGGATGGTCAGCATGTGACCATTTCCTAATAAGAGATCCACATAGCCTTCATCATTTGCCAAGATAGAGACGGTGCTAGGTGGAGCAAGCTCGAGAAGGCTGCAGTTTCTTGTGAGAGAGGACGATCGAGAAGAGAGATCATCATTCGAGGAGTTCTCTCTCAGCAGTTGTGGTAAACTTCGAAGGACGATACATCGAAATATCATCGTTGCAAGTTGCTTCTGCAGTTGGTTGGAACGACACCGTTTTCTATTGGAACGACACCGTTTTCTATCACTAAGCGCTCCATTTCAGTGCAACAGGTGGCTTAATCGGTGGTTGGATATGGTAATTCAGTGCATAGGTGATTCAACAACAACAACAAAAAGTCGTAATTCAGTGATGAACAAAGAAATATGTAACAAGTTAATTAACTTGTACCATAATTAACATGTGACTTTTCACAATAGTTGATTTATAGACTCCCAAATTTCGAAGACTAAGATTTCGTAGGTCTTTTCCGTGGGATGAACACCATCCCAGAAAATATACTCGGAAGTATCGCTGCAAGTCGAGGGGCACGATTGGTTGCAAAGAATTGCGGTTTCTGTGTCTGTACAACAACAACTTTCCTTTATTACATCGAACCCTGCAACACAAGCACAACTAAACTCATGATTTCAACAAGACGTAAGTGTCACCTAATGGGTTGGTTTTTCGCATAATGAGTTTCTGTTTGTTTCTTATAAAACGTACTTTTCATTATTTTCAAAAATCGGACTTAATAGGTGTCAGTGTGGCTTTAGCTTCCAAAGAAAACAAAAAGTTATAAAAATCGGACCAAACATATACTAGTTAGATTCGCCAAGTTAGATAATATCAACTTACCATATCTTTGGGGGTCCTGTATAATACCAAGCAAAGGACCATACAGATCCACAAACACTATCTTCAAGCCAGGAAGATGGTCGTTGAGATACTCAATTTCAGATATAAGCTTCCCATTGTATAACCTTGCAAGCTCATTGAAATCCTCAGCACATTCCCTTTCCACTCCTCCTCCTACGGTTCTTCCTTGTGGCACACACCCGGGCACTAATGTGCTGAACACACCGATTTTACGAGCCCCCAACTTGTACAGTTCGACCAGAAATTCTGAAGCTTGGATCGCAAGAAACGTGGCATATGAAGTCATGTCGTACTCGAGGTGCCTATTGGTGAGGAAATAAGTAGATCCTATGTCGTTGTTTCCCGATGAAAGTAAGTAGAGGCTTCGATTGACAATGTCTTTTGCTCTCTGTTCCCCTGCGTTAGCTATTAACTTGTCCTTATATTCTTGAAAGAGTATGAGTTGGTTTGGAATTGATAGTGCCATCTGCATTAGTAAGAAAAAAAATGAAATCTTGAGATGTGTCCCAAGTCAATATAATACATAGATTGATTAAAAATTAGGGTTAATACCCTAGTTTGGCCCGAAGTTTAACGTAAGTGTCAATTTTGGCCCGACTTTTCTAATAAGACATTTGTGGCCTACTTTGCAAAGTATTGGACAAATTTGGCCCGAAACTTATGTTGACCGTTAAAACTAACGGTCAAACACTATTCCGTTAGTGACTCAATAAAAAATAGCTAATGTGTCATGCCACGTCACTAAATACTATTATTTTAATTTATTAATTTAATATAAAAAAATTATCAAATTAAAAAAATTCCATCTTACTCCCCTGTATAATTTTACCCCCCAACCCCCATAAAAAAAAAATACCCCCAACCCTAATTAAACCAAACCCGCAGCCTATTCCCCCTCATTCTCCCTTACCCAAATCGCAACACCAAATAAACCCAGCGTCGCCGTCATTTTCTCCCTAGCCCTGACGAAAATTGCCGCAATAAATTAAACCCACGACCCGCCGCCTGAGAAGGCCTCACCAGCCACATCCGGTTCGAGACAATCTCGACGGCGATGCCACCCAGGACATGACGTTGCTATCCAAGCTAGCTCGCCGCCGTCACCATCATCTCTGTTGTTTCTTCTGCTCTAGAACCGCCCCGCCGCCTACAAGTTCGACAACGAGATCGGCAAATTCGAGACAAGGAGATCGGCAATCCATCCCCTTCCCTCTGGTTCGGCATCTCGCGCTCGCCGGATGCACGCGCGTCGCACCGCCGCCACCACTAGCGCTCCCCGTTTCGCCTCCGCAGTACAGCCACTGTCACGAGCCCGACGAGCAAAGGGATAGGGAAAGGCAGAGAGCAGTAGCTTCTGATCTTGTGGACGGGATCTCGAAGGAGCAGCAGCAGAAGCGAACGAACAAAAGAACGGTAGGGGAGATGGAGCTCGGGTAGCTGAATGATGGGATTGGTGGCGAGATGGGTAGCGAGGGTAGGGTTTCGATGATTGTTAGGGATTATTTTTGGGTGGCGGGGAGTGAATTGAGGTGTGATTTACTTGTGAAGGGAGGGAGTTAGGTGGAGATTGGAAAGTGTATTTTAGATTTTTTTTAAGTTTTTGGTTTTTTATTTTTATAATTTAAATAAATGATGTGGCAACCACATGTGATTCACCACAACATTTTGATGCTGAGTCACTAATGGAAAACTAGTTGACCGTTAGTTTTAACAGTCAACATAAGTTTCAGGCCAAATTTGTCCAATACTTTGCAAAGTAGGCCACAAATGTCTTATTAGAAAAGTCGGGCCAAAACTGACATTTACGCTAAACTTCGGGCCAAATTAGGGTATTAACCCTAAAAATTATACAGAAACTTTGTTTTGTGAATTAGAAATGTAACAAAAACACATGATACGATATGTATGTATGTACAATCAATTTTATTGATAAACAGAATTAAAATAATTTCATCGGTCGTTAAAAATTAGACACTGACCATCGACCTTATCGTTTCGGGGTCAAACCCACAACCGCCAGAAGCAAAAGCCACACCGGTCATAAGATCTTCAGGTCCAAGATTGGGATCAAGATACGGCGATAGAAGATCTTTAATCCCCAAATTTTCAACTGCAATCACAACACAGTTAACTAAAAACAAACAGGAAACCAAGCCATTTGAAATCGATCTCCGGCGCCGGCGCCGGCGCATGATAAATTGTACCATTACCAATCAGGTCGGGGATGATTTTCCCATCAGAAAATCTCCCGGTGGGTTTCCCGCCGGGAAAATTCCTGCCGTACGGCGGGTAATCACACCTGGCGCGAGTCAGGATGTAATCGTTGTTCCCCGTGTCCATAATCGAGTCCCCGAACACATAAACCGCCGCCGGATTGCTTTCTCCGGAATCGACTCCGGCGCAAAACAGAGCAGCTGATATCCCAAGCAGAAGCCAGGGGACGACGAATCTTGAAGAATTTCGGAATTTCATAACTTTGTTTTTTTTTTTTTTTTACTTTTGAGTTTTGATTCTCTGTGTTTGCTTCAGATTCCTTCGTGTATATACATGCACCTGGATGAATGTCACAATCGGCTGACAGGAGTTTCACATACGGAAGTGAGTTCTCAGTGATGATAGTAGCAGACACGCAATCTCTGCTGCCGTTTTCCTGACTATTCCAGCAGACCAGAAGTGTATAGTTTCGTGACCTTAGTTTAGGAGGTTGGGTAACATGATTTTCTGCACAAAAGCATCCTAAATATCGATTAGGTTAACTGCGTTGCCGATATCGATCCCAAGAAGAAAACGGTAGGTACAACTAATCGGTGAACAATCAATCAACACATTGTAAAAATTGGGTAGATTCGATCTATGGTCATTCTGAGCCACCTAAAAAAATTTACTAAATTCATCGAGCAGTTCCAAAGATTCAAAACAACCGGTTATTAAAGAATATTTGATTATCTTTTCCTTCTCATAAACCAACTGCTCCAAATAACCCAGAAATCAAGAAGATAACAACCCAACTTAACCTATGCGTAATTATTGAATAGAGAGGTGACAAAGTTTACAATTGATATCACAACAGCTCATTTATAGAATCTCTAACTTTGGACACTAAGATTCTATTGGCCTTCTCTGTGGGATGAACACTATCCCAAAAGATGAACTCTGAAGTGTTAGCACAAGTAAAGGGGCTCAATTGGTTGCAAAGAACTGCTGCCTCGATATACCCTGTCCCGCAGCACCCTTCCTTTGTTACTGCAAACCCTGCAAATCCAATTTCGAACCCAATTCAATAACCCAAACCAAAAGATTACCAAAAAAATTTAGAAGGTTTGGAATCTTATAAACAGAACAATAAGAGAACTTACCATATCTTTCAGGATCCTTTATAATTCCAAGCAAAGGGCTGAACAAGTCCACAAACACCATCTTCACACCAGGAAGTTGTTTGTTCAGATAGTCCATCTCAAAGCTAAGCTTCCCATTATATATCCTTGCTAGCTCGTTGAAATTCTCAGCACATTTCCTTTCTTCTCCTCCTCCTACTGTTCTTCCTTCCGGCACACATCCGGACACTAATGTGCTAAACACGCCAATCTTACGAGCACCGAGTTTGTAAAGTTGAACTAGAGATTCAGAAGCTTGGGTCACAAGAAATGAAGCATAAGAAGTCATGTCGTACTCCAGATGCCTGTTGGTCAGGAAATAGGTAAGTCCGATATCGTTGTTGCCCGATGAGATCAGATAAAGGCTCTGATTCACAATGACGTTTGATCGCTCTTCTCCTACAAGACCTTTTAACTTGCCCTTGTACTCTTGGAAGAGCTTGAGTTGGTCTGGGACTGATAGAGCCGCCTGCGATAAATTGGTGGTAAAAACTCATGATTAATATATAATATATTTGATTTACAATCCATGATTTAACTAGTCAAAACATCATGTTGTATTCATTAGATGTGAAATTTACATAATTCATCTAATTAGATGCTTAATGTGTCCATCCACTAGACCACTACCACAGTTGGTAAAATAAGGTACTAGTAAGTTACGTATAGTTATTTTACCTCATCGCTAAACTAAACTAATGGTGCTTCTAATAGTACGTCTATAGATATAAAGTGTATAATTAATTTTTAAAAACAAATAATGTTTAAATTATTAATGTAATTCATTAAATACGGATACTAAACGTGTAGAAAACAGAAGTTTTACACGCATAAAAATACGTACATCTTTTAACAAAAAAAAAAACCATACGTACATCCATAAATATGCGTATTAAATGGAGTATTTACAGACAATATCCATTACGATCCGTGGATACGTTATGGTTTATATGAATTAGAGGAGATTCTGCTTAAAAGATATTCATGACAAAAAGCATTGATCTTAAACGTAAGACTGACCAGAGTCTTTATCGTTTCAGGATCAAACCCACATCCACCTGAAGCAAAAGCCACTCCAGTCGAAAGGTCTTGAGCTCCGAGATTCGGATCCAGGTATGGCGGCAGAAGATCCTTAATCCCCAAATCTCCAGCTTCAATTGCAAACACGAAAACTTCTTTGGAGAAACCCAACAAAAAGTGGAAGTAAATAATCGAGTCTTGCAGGCAGCTATATATAAATCTGTACCTATAAGGTCGGAAATGACTTTCCCGTCAGTGAACCTCCCGGTGGGTTTCCCGCCTGGAAAATTCCTGCCGTACGGTGGGAAATTGCACTTGGACAAAGTCGGCAGGTAATTGTTGTTCCCCGTGTCCAGAATCGAGTCCCCAAACACAAAAACCGCCTGAGTACTCTCGCCGGAAGACACTCCGGCGGAAAACAGAGCAGCGGATTCCGCAAGCAGAAGCCATGGGATGATCAGGAATCCTGAAGAACTCATGAATGGCATATTCTTGTTTCCTTTCATTATGATGTACTTACATTACATGAAATGGCAATTGTGGGTTAGAAAGTCGTTTCAGTTTCTGCTTAAATATTAATGGCGGTAGGAGAAGGAAGAACAGCAGGAAAGCCAGAGAGGCAGAGAGGTCGTGCGATGGAATGGGGATTATAGTGTTGGCATGGGGACACGTGTCTGACTATATTTGGTCACTGCGATGTGAGATTATTGGCCCTGGTCAAGGTCAGTGCTTCTTCCATTGGAGGGATGGATGGGATTGGGGAGTGCTCAGATAGACATGTCCATGTCTACATCTTTTGATGATAACGAATTAATGATGATGTTTATAAAACTCTTTCGAAACAATTTAAGTTTATCCAAAAAATTTGTTATAAAATTATGGGTGACTTGCAAGTAGTAATGATTTGGACAAAATAGTTGATCGTTAAGTGGTTGTGGCCAACCGATTATATTAATATGGTCTTTCTGAAGGAATGTAGCGATCGACCCTAAACATGGAACGATCAATCGTGCATAAGATAGGAGACTCATAAACAGAAAGTTTGACCTTTCCACCAAAGTGGTCGACAATATCAAGAAAAGGTCGACCTTTCAAAAGGCTGACGTGAGGTCGACCATTTTTTTAGAAGCGGTAAAGCACTTTAGCTGTTAGGTTGACCTGTAAGCCATTAGGTATACTGCTTATTGAATGTAGCAAACCAAAAACAAAAAAAATAGTGTATTGAGACTACCACATACGCTTACCAATCGACCGTTTTGTCCAATTCACGATGACTTGCAAGTCACCATAACAAATTCTTAAAATTATAATAAAGTTCATGTAACCTGTTATTATGTATTCATACAGCTGGGTTAATGGGGAATAAATACATTTTTTCACCAAGTAGTGCTGATATGACCCTTTATTGAATGCTCTAGTGTCTAGATTTATATCAACTCTCATCACTCGAAATTGAACTGTTGTGCCTTTTTATTATGGTATGGAATTGTTATTTTCTATCATAAGGCTATTTTATTTGTTTGCCATATTTTCACTTGATGTTTATGGAATGACATTTATCTAACTGTAGTGAAACCCTAAATAAAATAGATAGATCCTTCCCTTTGTCTTAGGTTGATGGATCTTCTCAATTGGAAAACCCCTATATGGATAATATACATTCCAGTTGATCGGGCCTAATTCTAATTGTTTTGTTCCGAAGCAAAGATATCCGGGGGGTGGTTCGTCCTATTCAGATATTCATGACTCGGAAAGTACTGGATTCTCTTTCGGATAGGCCCTGAAAGGAGAAGTAAGGCTGGAATGCCAATAAATCTTTATGAATGGGTAAGTCGCCAATCCCTAAAACGGATTATGTAATGTACTTTATTTGTTGATTTGTTGGGTTACGGGAGGGCAGTAGTCGGTAACATATGCCTATGTTTGCCCCGACATTTAAAAGTGCTTTTCGGCTTCAAAAGATGAAGCAGGGCCAAACACCTGTAAAATCTCGACTTTTGAAAAGCTGAAAAGCGCTTTTGTGTAACATAAAAGTAGAAGCTCCGATTTAAAACATCTGCAAAAAGCTGTTTTGAAAATACAAGATTATCCTTACCATATTTTAATTTTATTTCCGAACATATAACTTTCCTTCATTTCTATCATTTTAAAAATAAAATAAAATATAAAATCACACTATTTAATATAAAAGAAATCTAACAAGATCCATTTAGACTACTTTTTAATGTTTATAATTTTTATTCATATTTTATATTATAAGTTCTTTGTAGTTATTTTACACAACCTATCACATTAAAAAGCACTTCTAATAGTTTTACGGTCAAACACTCAACTGCTATTTTTGAAAAGCACTTATCTAAAAGCTCTAGTTAAAAGCTGCTTCTGCAAAAACTACAACAGGGCCAAACTAAACTATAAGAGGATATCGTTGGATTGTTTATCTAACATGTTAATCAAACAACTTCTCCCAATTTAAATCTATTTGGTTTTAGAATTGTTGAAAGTTGAAACCATAGAGTCACATGAGTATTAGAAGTGGAAGAATATTGTCCCTCAAAAGTATTGCTTTAACAATTATGTAGAAGTCTCAATTCGGAAGTTTGAGTTTCAAATTCATTTAGTAATACTTAACAATAAAAACACATCTATATCACCTAAATTAAGAAGAATTCCGCACAAATCTTCACTTTCATCATTGACTTGCTCAATTTTCACGATCTTTTATTTGCGCTTCATAGTCTTGGATGATGGGAAAGTATTTATCCAAAAAGGCTTAGATTGAAAATGAAAACGAAAACATCGCAAGACGAATAAAAACACCTAAAACTTCCTAATTCTCCATAGTATCATAGATGTTGCAAAACCTCTTAAAATGAGCATGTGGGGTCATTTATGCTCACTGAAAAAAAAAAGATCAACAACTAATTGTTAAATTATTATATGTTACCTATCAAAATTACATTCAGTTATTAAAATTTTAAATTGCTACGATACTCACATATTTTTATAATTTACTTAAATTGATTGGACTCCAATACGACAATTGAAACTAACACCATTTGTTTGACCATCTCAATGTGTTAGACTAGTTTGACAACCTTGCCTCTGTCCCAACCATGGTTGTCAAACTGGTTTCCTGTCCGTCGGTTCAACCGGTACCGGTCACCAAACCAACCGGAAAGGGGCAGGTATTTAAGTGTGATCAAATCCGGTCAGATCTGGTCAAATTCGGAAATTCCGACCGGCTAGACCAGAAACTGGAATTCGATGTTACACACATTATATCCAAAAATAAACACCTTCCATAAGATTTGATATAATAGGCTACAATCAACTTTGTTGTATACATTAATCTTATATATTATATATCTAATACTAAATTTTACACAAATCATTATAAACAATAATAAAATTCATTTTATATACTTTTATTTTAAGCTCCTAATTCTTAGCTGTAAATAATTTTGTGTGAAATAATTCTTCTAATTGTTTTTTCATGACTAATTTATTTGGAATCGAGAATTTCCATTTTTCTCATGTATTTTATTAAAACCGGCATAACCAGCATGAATACTGGTTATACCACTATCGGACCATTCCACCTGTAAAATCGACACACCGGCATATACCGGTTTGACAACCTTGGTCCCAATTGATTACGTGTCTAATATCTTCTTACCAAAAAAAGATTACGTGTCTAAAGTCTAAACTAGGAGCGAGTTGTGTCCGGGTGAGTCCTTGCCGATTCCGCCACCCGCCAAAAGAAAGCGCCACCCTTTCCGCAACCGCTGCACTTCTCTCTTCTTCCAGTTCCTCCAGCTGCTGTCGCCGGCTCCCGTTTCTAGGGTTTCTGCGGAGGAAGAAATGGAGCCCGTCGTCGGCAAAATCAAAGACTTAAAGAAGTCAACTCAAGACTTCTTCGATGGCCTCTTCGTCTTCGACAATCGTGCCAAGTCTTCCCGCCGCAATCCGGTAAACTCCTCCACCCGTCACTTCTCCACTTCACGGCTTTCCCCGTAGTTGCGTTGAAGAACTCTGAAACTTTCATGTATTCCCCGCCAATAATGTGAATCTAGACAGTGAAGTCCAGTTTAGCATTTGTTTCACTGCTCTTAGAAATGGAATTCTGTGGAAAATTTCGAAATGGGGCGAAATTTGTTTTTTAGCTAATCAAACCCTTCCTACTAAAGGTAATGGGGATGTTACAGTTTGATTTGAAGGTCGTTTTCATGATCTTGATTAGATCTTCGTGGATTGTGGATGTGATGCAGATTGAGATCCTCAAGCGATTACAGCGGGAATCATTCACTGACCTAATGAAGCTCAGAGAGAGGCAGGACAAGCTCGAGCGAACGGTCTCTTTCCAGAAAATCGCCAAGGGAAATCCATTTCAAAACTCAGTTGGTACTCATGTAAGGGGAGAGATCGATGCCCTAGGTGCTATACTGCTTATGGGCAGCAACTTCGATCAGTTTGATCACCACGACTCTCTTGGCCTTGGGAAGAATGGTGGCATTAGATCGAAGATATCCTTTGAGGCTCCCATACGGGAGAATGATAAACTCATAGCAGAGTTTGGCACGGGAGGTAGCAACGGTGGTGATATTTTGGGGAGCACGACGCTTTGTCTGTCGAAATTATTATTCATGTCAAACATTCGTGACTGGTTATCAGCTACTGTAATGCCGGTTGGAGCTCAGTTCAGGCATCTGGGGTTCACTATGGATTCTTCAAATCAGGTGCGGTTGAGCTTCACCTGTACTAAACCTTGTTCACTATTGAGCAACTGAAGTTTTTTCCGAGCTTCAATTTAGATTGTGAAATATGCTTGAATCAATTGCCTTAGCTATAGACCAAAAGTGGTATTTAGGAGAACCAATAGTGAGAATCTCGAGTCAAATTCCTAATTGGCTTACACTTGATGAGTTTACTTAACCGTACAGAGTCTAATCCTATGGTAAAAGCTATTTTCACACAATTTTATGCTTTCACTACTGGAATCAATGAACTGGGTAGAATCTTGAGGCTTTTTTTTTAATAGTTGCTACTACACAGATATGATGATTGATATTTTTATATTGTCATTCCTGATTGATAATGAATATGGAAGTTGTAATTGACAAAATTTATCGGGTGAATATTGCTGGTGTGAGCATAACTCTTGTAATATCCCAATACAATTTGCTGCTGCTCACCCTCATAATTCAACATTGAAATGGTCTGTCTTCATTACAGATAAAGGGCTTGACAGAGCTTTCAGCAATCGGTCCTCCTCTCATGAATGAACATAGTGGTTCAGCCATCGGTTTCACAGTGAAAAAGTCGAATCTCGTGGCTTCTTTTTCTGGTTCCCTATCCGGACTTCGGAAATCAGACCTATATTCATCAGAGAAGTACTTCAGCACATTTGGCCAAATTGCATGCCAACTACCAAAAGGATTGAAGCTCTCAGTCTCGGGGGTCCACAAACGGCCTAAATCTTCTCGCTACTTTGTCAACCGAGGAGCTCTCACGATCCCTGTGGCCATTTTGAATCCACACCCAAATGCTCCTCACGACCCGGTCTTTGAACCACTGGAGACAAACCTATTTGAACTGACCCCAACGGGGTCCATTGCTGTGAAGTTGGAGAGCCAGGTTGATGAAGACACGAGGATGGAGGGTTGGATGCAGATGAATAACTCGAACGGGTCGAGCATCGTGCAATGGGGATTGAGTAGGATTGATGATTCAGAGGATGAGCATGGATGGGGGATCAGTGTTGGCGGGGAGAGGGATAACAGCGGAATTAGGTCGAACAGGTTTCGAGCAGAGGCGTACCTGAAGTTCAACGTTGGGAAGAAGTTCTGCTTGAAGCCAGGGATTGCTTGTGCAGGGGATGGTGATTCCAGGATGTGTGGGTTGATGTTTAGGTCTAATTGGTCGTTCTGATATATAACTTCACTTGTCTAATTTATGGATGTAAGTTGTAACTGTAAGAGACCGATTGCTACAGTGGCTAGGTGAAATGGTGAGTCATGCAAACATACACAGTGATCTATTTACATTCCGAATTAGGTTGAATCAAAACGACCTGTTGAAACGTGCCTAAAGGTCATATATTCCCATAAAGACGTAATTTCCAACTGTCATATATTCAACGTGTTCTTCACTCCCTCCATTTTCGCTCCTTCCCTTTTACTCTCTTGCTACTGTTATTTCTACTAAAAAGTACAAACAGTATTTTCTCCTAAAATGTAGGCGTCTCCTAAGTGTTACTTAAACATGCTAGGTAAAGCCCCAAGCGCCTTCTTGAACCTTGCATGATACACTTTCTTTATTTACTTTCATCATTTCAAATTTACTCAATTCGTATGTTTCGCGTGAGCTCCTTTTATAATCATCTATATTTTTTGTATAGATTTAATGGTTTAAATGGTCTAAATTGGAACCCGTATTTTAGTTATTTTTTAAACTTCCTAGTCATTCAATTATATTTTTCCATATGATATATTATTTCTCTTCTATTTTTCAGTTCTCTTATTATTCTTAATCGGATCATATTTCTAACGTTTCATTTCAAATACAAATATTTGATAAAGAATAATAAGGTTTTAATATATGTTAAAATAAAAAATTTAGTAGACATGATAATGTATTCACGATCATGTTCCTATTCCAAAAATTTACTAAACTATACCAAATATCATCCAATCCTATAACACAATAATAACTTTCATGCCCTACCATAATTCACAAGGCACGTTCCTATTCTAGCTTAGTTTGGCCCTGCTGTAGCTTTTGCAGAAGCAGCTTCTGACTGAAGTTTTTAGATAAGTACTTTTCAAAAAAAGTAGTTTAGTGTTTGGCTGTAAAACTATTAGAAGTGCTTTTTAATATGAGCGGTTGTGTAAAATGACTATAAAGGACTTATAATATAAAATAAAAATAAAAATTCTAAACAATAAAAAGTAGTCAAAATGGATCTTGTTAGATTTCTTTTATATTAAATAATATGATTTTATAATTTATTTTATTTTTAAAATGATATAAATGAAGGAAAATTATATTTTCTGAAATAAAATTAAAATATGGTAAGGATAATCTTGTATTTTCAAAAAAGCTTTTTGCAGAAGTTTCAAATCGGAGCTTCTGCTTTTATGTTATACAAAAGCGCTTTTCGGTTTTTCAAAAGCCAAGCTTTTAGAGGTGTTTGGCCCTGCTTCAGCTTTTGAAGCCGAAAAGCACTTCTAAAAGCCGGGCCAAACATAGGCTCTGTAAAATTAGTCACTTATATCAAACATCTTTAATTTCTATATAATTCTAAGAGCATCCACATTGGTATTGCAATTTCAATTACAAGATGATATGATATGAGTGTTTACAATTGCAAAATAAATTGAATTGATGTGACTACCGATTGTATATTTGTAAGCTTGCAACATATGCAATTGTATATGCAACATGCATGACACGACACGAAAACTGACGAGTCATGTCAAGCACGACACGAAATAAATTGGCCTGAGGCATAATGCCTGTGTCGTGCTGGCCCAAGCACGGCCCAACGCCTATGCACAGCGCAAACCACGGCAAGGCACTTTGGACTTTTATAGTATTATTATAATGGATTTATTATGGGACACTACTAGTTCATCAGGTTAGTTATGACTTTCTTTTGCTTTTTTCAAATATAAAGGACATTTGTTATTTCATCCTAACATTATTTTCTATTTACAGTTGAGAGAGCATATTCTGGATCATTTGGGTCCTGTGTTGCAGACGAGGGACAGGAGTAAGTTTGACGAGGACGGTGGTAAGTTCTACGATATGATAGTTGTGGTTTACGAGTTGTACGGCCAGTTGGTAGGCCCTCCGCCTCAGTAGACGTTTATCACTTTCGTTTTTGTGCTTTCTTTGCATTGTTTGTAGTTGAAGTTAGACAATTGTGTTTTTATTTATCATCATTTGTAGTTGAATCTGAGACGATTATGTTTTTATTTGTCATCATTTGTAGTTGAACTGAGACGATTGTGTTTTTATTTGTCATCGTTTGTAGTTGAACCGAGACAACTGTGTTTTGTTTCAGAAGATGGTCTCCATGTTTACTTTCGTTACATTCAATACATTGCTAAAATAGTTTATCAACGTGGTAGCTTACTAAATGTTTCAATAATAGTAAGAGTTATACAATTAGTAAATATACTTCTAATCGTCATCCCCATAGGTTCAAACTATCATAAAGTGCACGCTCATGTAAGAAAAATTGATCCCACCCATTGACACTAGGATCATGAAAAATAGGCCAAAGTTCATTAAACGGAGGCATGAGCACTTGACCATGTCGAAAGTCAAGTCGCACCCAATGATTCCCTGTAAATTGTAGTGATAAGATCCCACGTGGTCTTGTTACTCCTGGTGGGGCCGTCACAGGTAGCACGGTATAACGACCATCTAGATTGTATACAACGATAGCCCATGAATGCTAGATGGCGAAGACGAAGAGTTCTGCATTATCCATCCAATTGGGACGCCCACGACCACTTGTTGATGCCCACCTGCAACGTCGAAGGCCATTTTCTATTCCATTTGATATTCCATCATAGTAGTCTCTATACAGCTCAGGACGGGCTTCAAGCTCCTCTACAACAACGTGTCTCATCTATGGCCAATTCCCTTAGTCTTCGTTACCTGCTTGTGATAAAGCTCGAAATCCACAGTGTCCATCTGGAATAGGGTTGTGTCAACCACGAGCTAGTCGTTGCACGTAGGATTCCAAACAATGTATCCATGGGTAATTCTTCCAACTAGTATTGGGAATCCAAGCAACCCTCCATGGGCCAACTTCTTTTGTCGAGAATCCTTTAGAAGCTTCCTGATTTGCAGGTGTTGAGCCTCAATGTAATCATCGTCCGTCTTGAATACCTACAGACAATGAATAATAATTAGGAGACTACTAAAACTTCTTAAAGAGGCATCAACGAAGATTTATTAGGAGACTAACCGTGTCGACTGGACCAGTAGATGAAGCCACTTTTTGAAGGAGGAATGAGCAGATTCAACCCTATTGGAGCTTGTGTTACCCAAATGCTGCACTTGATTGGTATAACATTTAGCCCACATGTGCCTAACTGGTAACCACTCAGCTTCCAAACCCCCAAAGTCGTCGGTACTGTACTCCCCAACTACGTCTGAAATTGTCTAAGGTTGTATCCATGCACTGTCAATGCATATACATCAAGTTGCCAAGTCGCCATTATATGATCCACCGTCGGTTTGGCTGCATCTTTACCACAATGAGTTGTCCTCGGCACCTCCGTTAGACACTTTGCTCTCACATTCCTCTTCTTTTCTTATCTTTTGCAACTCTTTATAAATTTATTTTCTGTTGTGTGCTCCCTGTACACCTTTTCTCTCATTCGCTGCCTTGTGGATATTCCTTGGTGGTAGGGGCGGGCAACCGATTCGGTAAACCCAAACCGAACTAAAATCGCACCAAAACCGAATTAATGCTATTCGGTTCGGAATTCGGAAGGAAAATATGGATAGTTCGGAAATTAGGGTTCTTTCAACCGAACCGAATTTCCGACCGAAAAACCGAAATACTATAATTGCAAGCTCCAAATGGTGGATTTTTATGTTTGTATTTTCTTTTAGACTGAAATATTATATGACTTATGTGTTGAAATTTTGATTTTATTATTGATGATGCATATAATTGCATATTTATTATTTATATTAGGGGTGAAAAATAATTTAAAAGTGAGAAGATACAAATAGCTTCACAAATTCAGTTTTGTATGAAAACCGAACCAAACCGAATTATAATTCGGTTTAAATCGACCGAACCGAATTATAATTCAGTTTGAGATTTGAGGGAACTCGGGGACCCGGTATTCCTAATTTCTGTTTGGTCGAAACCGAATCGACCCAATGCCCACCACTACTTGGTGGGGCACCGGTCGATCTCAACTGTCTGATATATTGCTTATTCTCTGCAGTCAAAACATTCCTTCCCTTTGATTCCTCTGGAAATAACTCCAACTGATGATTGCGGAAACCCAAATTAGCATCACGATTCTTTGTATTTGCCACCCTTAGGATCAACCAATATCCATCACCGGACCGCTCAAGCTTGATCTGAAACTCGCACCCCAAATTTTCAATAGCAGTAAGAGGTCTCCTCTCCTTAGTCGGATCAGGTTCCTTCGACTTTTTCTTCTTACCATGAGTGCAATGTAAGTAATGTCGCCCACTAGCTTCACTCTTTTTTTGTTCGTTGCCCTCGCCAAATAAAACCCAAAGCCCTTGACAATCTCAGTAGCTGCTTCATATGCTTGCAAATCCGTAGTGTATTTCACTTCATCAATGAATCCGAGGTGTAAGCATGGCCATCCGGATTGTAACTACCAATATCCTGCAATATTATCAGAATTTATAAGTGATACTCCACAAATTAAAAAAAGAACTTAGCATTCTCTATATCGTCAATTTAACGAGTACTTTACGATAAATTTAAAATTTCATAACTACATTTAATTTAACAATCATCATAACTTCACATGTGAAATCTATTATTTATGCAATAAATCTAATCTTAATTTTCTAGATTAAGACCAAATCTAATCTAAGCTTAATTTAAGGCCAAATACAATCTTAATTTCTAATGCTAAATCCTTCAATTTTAAAAATAATTATGCAAATAAATCTAAAAATTATATAAACCAAAACACAACAAATTATCTCAAGGAACAAACCATATATCATATAAAAAAATAGAAAAAAATCTCAACTGCGGCTCAGATGCAGTTCGACCATGGACCAACCGCAGGTCAGTTGCGGTTCCACCATGGTCCAACCACAACTCACTTATGGTTGGTCCATGGTGTAACCACAGGTCACTTGTGGTTGGCACCATGGTTCAACTGCAGGTCAGATGCGGTTCAACCATGGTCCAACTGCAGGTCAATTACGGTTGCACCAACTGCAAGTGACCTGCAGTTGGACCATGGTTAAACCGCAAGTGACCTACGGTTGGACTATGGCCGAACCGCATCTGAGTCGCGGTTTCCTTTTTTGGTTTTTTTAGTGAACGTTTTTAACTCATCGGAGTCGCTATTCATGATTTAGACGTCCTACCGACGATATCGGCTCTAGAATGACAATGATGGATTTTTTTCTACTTGAATAGTGTTTTTTTAGTCTAAATAGTGTTTGTTTGCTAAAGAGAAGGTAAATAAGCTAAGTGGTTAAAAGTGTAACTTTAATATATATATATATTTAAAATTTTAATATTTTTCAGAGGACTTTTAGCAATTTGTTTAGCAACTCCTTATTTTTTCCCCGCAAAATGAAAATACGTGAATAAAATAATAAATAGCCCTCTTAAGTCTCAAGTCTTATCCTCCCCCACCGTTCTCTCTCTGCAAGAAAGCGAGACAGACAAAAGGCTCTCTCTCTTTCTATTTTCCATCTAAGTTTCCTCTCTCTTCGATCGAGGGAAAAACCTCGCTCGCCGGTAGAAATCGAGAAAAGAGGCTAGAAGAGAACCCCGAAGATGTCGTCGGCGGCGATTAGGAAGATTACTCTGAAGAGCTCCGACGGTGAGACTTTCGAGGTCGACGAGGCGGTGGCGCTGGAGTCTCAGACCATCAAGCACATGATCGAGGACGACTGCGCCGACAACGGAATCCCGCTTCCGAACGTCACCAGCAAGATCCTCTCCAAGGTCATCGAGTACTGCAAGAAGCACGTCGAGGCCGCCGCTTCCAAGACCGAGGAACGCCCTACCTCCGCTGACGATGATCTCAAGACCTGGGACGCCGATTTCGTCAAGGTCGACCAGGCCACTCTCTTCGACCTGATCCTGGTAACCATCTCCTCCTCTTCCTCAGACACGCTTAGATTGCTTCTCTGGGTTATTACTTCCGGCTCAATTTCTTGATTCATTGGGTTCGATTGATTGGAATTCGATTTCTAGGGTTAGGGTTTGGGGATCTCCAAAATTTGGTGCGATTTTCAATTGCTCGCTTTCGTTTGGGTTGATGTTTTCCTTGTGATGAGTATGAGAAAGATGAATTGCTCGATTGGTGAATTCAATCTAATTGTTTTTTGAATAGTCAGGGTTTGAAAAACAGGGCTGTAGAACTAGCTAATATTAGACTCAAGTGAGTGGTGGTGGTGGTTTGAGCTAATGGGTTTGTGCTCTTGTTGTTGTGTGCAGGCTGCAAACTATCTCAACATCAAGAGCTTGCTGGACCTAACTTGCCAGACTGTGGCAGACATGATCAAGGGCAAAACTCCAGAGGAAATCCGCAAGACCTTCAACATCAAGAACGACTTCACGCCAGAGGAAGAAGAGGAAGTTCGTAGAGAGAACCAATGGGCCTTCGAGTGATGCCTTTAACAGCTCTTTCTCCAGAATGTCTATGTTTTTTCAATCTGTGTTTCCAGCTTTCAGTCTCGCTATCCTGGTTTTCTCCATGATCAGACAATCATCCCCTCCAGACATCTCCTAATCTATGTGAACTTGTGATATAACTCTGTCTCTCTGTCTCCCTCTTTGTTTCCCTAATTAGTATGATATGACTATCCGATTATCTGTTATGGCATTGCTACATATTTAGTTTCCTTTTTGCTAAAGAATCTGTCTTTCCTAGCTATCCGCTTATCCTTGCCCTCCATGAACACACAGTCGTCCCCTCCAGACATCTCTTAGTCTATCTGAACTTTGTGATACAACTCTCTCTATCTTTCCTTACTTGCGCCGGTATGACTATCCATTTATGTGTTTACCCTTGCTACGTGTTCAGTTTCCTGCTTGCTAAAGAATCTGTATTTCCTAGCTATGGCTTCTAGCTACTCCATGTTGATTGTTCATACAGGAACCAGTTACAACCGAGATTCTTGTTAGTGGTAGTTTCTTTGTGTTCTTGATTCATGTTCTTTGCCAGGGAACCTGCATGGTAGCTTTTGATGTAGAAGGTCTTGTATTGTATGGGTTAGATCATGTAGTGGTTATTAAGCTGCTTTGGTTTAATCACATTATTATATTATGGTTTTGGTAAGGGCTTGTTATTGGATTTCCTGTTGTATTTATACATAGGTTAAGGAAAACTTATTTTCGCTTGTGATGGGTTACATCATTAGAAGTATAAGGAGAGCTTACAAAGTGTTGTAAGTTCAACTGGTTCCCTACTCCTGCTGCATTCAACTACTTGTTTCGTTGCTTACTACATATGGGGTCCCGACTTTGAACTTTGAGCTACTTCGTGTAACGGCCTTGATACTAGTCGTGCTGCAGCCAAGTAGCCATGGTAGCATAGGAAGTTTGAGAGTCCGAAATTGTGGTATCGTAAACGAGTCCTGGTTCTAATGGTCTGGTAGATCTCGTCTCTCCAGCGGGCACGACATGGAAGTCCCCAAGAGCACACTGTAGAGCGATGACTCTTTACTGTCTGGATCATTGCCCGTCTTGGTAGTTTGTACATTGACTCTCGGCGGGAACGATGATACAAGGTAACACCCGAAGCTGCATTTTCCTAAACCATTGGCAATTTGACCTTGGTCCTGATATGAGGATTGGCCACCTGCAAATCAAACCATCGCAGTAAAAAAAGAAGAAGGAAGATAAAGTAGAAATATCAAATATGGCAGAGAGAAGGGAAAAGGAAACCAACAAAAAATAGTGTAGGGGGAGACTTATAAGGGAATAGGACTCGAAAAGTTTGTCGATATATTCAGGTTGAGATGAGAAGTACTACAAATCCTCACAAGGGAAGCAAAAAGTGGTATGAGATACAGCAACAAAAAGGACAGAAAAGTTTATAATACCAATGGAGAAAATCAATGATAGGCTTGGCAAAGATACATCCTCAACTAGAGATAAATTATAACGACAATTACGGGGGTAAAAAAGATACATCTTCAATCAGGACGATGTGAAATTGCATCTGAAATCTTACTATTTACACCAAACAAATGCTGGGATTGTTGGAAAAATGAATGAAGATTCATAGTATTTCACTGGAACATGCGGATGTCAAGAACAAGCAAATAAAAATAAAAAAAACACTTTTGAGTTTAATCTGGAGATTGTACAATCAGGTACACAAACCATGCCTACTAGATCATGGGTTGTAAATGTTCACGAGTTTCATGAGTAACGTTGTAGGGTTTACACGCCTATATAAGGTTTGTTTTATGTGTCAACCAAATTGATGAATTCTGCCAAAAAAAAAAAAAACACTTGAGCACAAGTTCTGCATGTTTTTTATATGGCCGAAACTCATGCTCGGCTAGACTTCATCTCAGTAGATAACCCTACTGTCCCTTGCCATCTCATCTCTATCAGAATATCCTATGCATATGTTGTTGGATATGGAGGTTTCAACAGAGGTGGATGTTGCTCCATTAAAATTCATGGTAGAGAGAAATTTATCGAAGTATGAGAGGAAGAGATTGATGAAAAACTAAGATGATACCAGCACGGAACTGATACTTGTATTGATCAAAATCATGGTTAATATTGCACAGGTTGCCACTTAAATTCACCATTTTGTTGCACGATGATCACCTAAGTAAGTTTTGTTGCAACTAAACCACTTATATCAAATTTCGATAGCACCGTTAGCATTTTCGTCTCCATTGCTAACGATAGGTGCTGAAATGTAAATAACCATGCCAATTAGGACTGTCATGTCAATTGATGACTCACATGTGGCCCACCCCATTTAGATCCGATAAATGGACCCTGCCTCTATCCCCAAAACAATCCTACCCCTTCCTCCTTCTCATTCATTTCTTGCCCCCAAACCTTCCCTATTATCAAACCAGCGATCAAAATCTTCTTTCTCAATCCTTTCCTTCTTCTGCTCCATTTCTACTGTGTCTGGTTGGCGTCAATTCCACAAGTACGTATGGTCTATCTAATTACTGTTGGTCTATCTAATACCAAAAATAGCCACTTTCGTCCAATTGTTTGACGATGTTAGTTAACGTACTGACCGGACTAACGGATCGTCTGATGTGGCGATTTTTGACCCATACGTATTTCCCACGTGGATTTAGAAATAAAAAAATTAACTTAAAGAACAATAATTAAAATTTTATATTTTCAAATGGCTGGTCTTTTGAATTGTGGAAAATAAAAACAAATAAATAAATAAAACAAAAAACACTTATCTCCTCCCAAGGCTCAACCTACCCTCTGTTCTTATTTCCATCTGCCATCTCCCCCCACCTCCATCGCCGGCAACCTACCCTACGTTATCATTTTCCTCCACCCATTCCCCATCTCAATCGCCAGCAAACACCCAAATGAAGTACATGAATCCGCCGTCGTCGCCGCTTCCTCCTCCTTCCCCTAATCCTCGTCCACCGTCGAAACCGCTATCTTGTATCTTCGCATCCGCCTCCAAATCCGTGATATTCATTTTGATTCCTCCCAACCGACCTCCATTGCTCGCTTCGCTCACCAAAATTACCTCCTCTCATCATTGATTTCATGCATAGCTAGAATTTGAATTCCAGATTTGAGGAATTTCTGGTGGGTTGCTCGATTCTTCCCTACGACGGCTCTGCCGCCAGACTAGGCCGGGAATGGAGTTTCGCTGGGTTTTGGAGTTTCGATGGAAGAGGTTTCCCCTCAACTCTTTGGGGCCCTCGCAAAGCTCTTCTCCAGCTGGGAAGAAATGGAGGATTAAGGACCTGGTATCGATTTCAATTAGAGCGATCTGTCGCTGTCGATCCTCCGCCACACCACCGACCTTGTCCCTTCACCTTCTTCCTTCGCTTTGATTTCAATTAGATACGAGAACGATTTGCTGCTGCCAATCCCGTGTGCTCTTCTTGGTCGAACATGGGTTATTCAATTTAGGGATTTTGGATGAATTAGAGAACTCGATTTGGGGTTCTTGGTCAAGTGGAAGAGAGAAGAAAGGGTCCTAGGTTTGGTGTTCTTCTTACTCACCCAAGAGCTCTACCTCTTCTAGTCTCCAATTCCAGCTCTCACAAGGGGAAATACATCAACGATAGGGAGGGGGCGAAGACGACATCAGAGTTGCCACCTCTGCATCTGCATGTCTCTCACAATCGCCACATCTCTAACGGCGAACAGAATGACAGGGGCGATGGGTGGTGGCCTGGTGGGAGGTGGAGAGAGAAAGGGAAAATTAATTTATGAATTAATTTATTTTTAAAGTAATATGACATGTCATCTAAATGGCAAGTGTGTGAGTTGTCGATGACGTGTCGAGTGAGTTGGCAGCCAGATCATCGTTTCGTTAATTTGACTAACGGTGTCACTGACGCCGTTAAATTATGTAACGGAAATGGCTATTATTGTCATCAAACTTTCAAATTTCTGGCTATTATTGGTATTTCTCCAAAAGTGGCTATTATTGTCACAAACGTCAAAGTTTTGGCTATACAGATGAATTTTGCCAAAGGAGAATAAGGACCCGAACTTTGCAATTTGGAGCCGCTCGAAATGTTAGGGGTCGTTTGGATGTGGAAATTTGAAAACGTGGGAATTTGGCTGAATTTCCATGTTTTACAAAACCAAGGAATTGACTTGCGGAAATTGAACGAAATACCATGTTTGGATAGGATTTATTTTTGTGGAAATTGATGGCGTGGAATTTGGTGATAATACAAAAATGCCCTCTTTTGTTTTATATGCATACCATCTCCTAAAGGTTGTTGTTGTGTTCTACTAACTACTAATTGTCTTTGTTACATCGGCTTTTTCCTCTTAGTCGGCATTCCAATTAAGCGAATCGGATGAATAGAAGTAGGAGAATCGACGGCGGATGACATAATTAAGCGAATCCAAAAGTAAGAAATTGACGACAGATGAGAGGAGATATGCGAAGGTGAGGGGAGATGAAGAAGAGACGTCATTGTTGAATGAAGAAGAAGGGGCTACTTTTGTAAGAAATAGGTTGGAGAAATCGGGGAAGGAGCAATGGAGAAAGGAGAGGAAGGACAAAGGGGCACATTTGGAACAAAGAAGAAGAAAACATGGTAATGTCAAATTACTAGGGGGAGGTGTAGTATTCTCAATTACCATGAATGTGGTAATTGAAGCCAATTTCCATACTCTTTTGCTCTCCCAAACATGGATTTTTAACCCAATTACCACATAATGCAGTAATTGGGTCCAAATAGTGTATAACATTTCCACATCCAAACGACCCCTTAATGAACTATATGACAGATTGACAGTGTTGATCCTGAAGCTGTCCTATAAGTTCTTGTTCACAAGGTGCTTTTTGGACTTCCTTTCTCTTCTCTCTTTGCATACCGAAACAAGACATGCTTTCACCTTTCATTTAATTTTTTTTATTACCATGTAGGTTATACTAGAATCTCTAAACCAGGGTGTTCGGGAGGGCATGATGTTGCTTCACGATTGACTTGTAGAAATGAAGCAGAAGAAGGAAAGGATTGATAATATGGAAGGTTTGGGGGTGGAAAAGAAGGAGAAGGAAAAAGGGGTCGGATGGTTTTGGGGAGAGAGGAGGGTCCATTTATTGGATCTACTTGGGATTGCGCCACATAAGTCAGCAGCTGACGTGGCAGTTCTTATTGGCATGGTTATTCACATTTCGACACCTTTCGTTAGTCATGGAGAAGAAAATGGTGACGGTGCTATCAGAATTTGACGTAAGTGGTTTAGTTGCGAAAAAATTTACTTAGGTGGTCATCGTGCAATAAATGATGAACTTAAGTGACAACCTGTACAATTAACCCATCAAAGTCACTCAACCACAATCTTTTTAGGGTTTTTTGAACTTTTCTCAACAACAAGAAAAACTAAAAGGATAAGACTGAATGATCGTGCAGCTTCAACCCCTGAAATTGGCAAGAGGCTCAAACAATATAAAGGTAGAAGCTCAACCACAATCAAGGGGAATACTTGATGGATACAAAGACAATTTTCAAGCAATTGGAATCCACCAACTACAAGAGCAAATTCTTGATTAATCCACCAATGAACAATATAAAGGTAGAAGCTCGACCACAATCAAGGTCTGACTAAACCTCTTGTTTACAACCCTTTAAATAGGTATAAAAAATAAAACTAATAAAAACCCGAAAATAAAAAGAATTCTAAACCCAAAAGGTAAGTTTAACTCGTTAGACCAGGTCATAGGGGGACAGCTACTGCAATTCTTGATTAATCATTGTTATAAACGCGCTGCTACGGATCAGGAAATCGTCGGAATCGATAAAGCAAGAATACGAAAGCGAGAATCGAAAAACACCGACACACGATTTACGTGGTTCACTAACACGATGTGTGTTAGCTACGTCCACGGGTGAGACAGAGTCAGTTTCACTATATCGAGGAGATTACAGAGGAGTATGAGAAGTATTTATAGTACTTCTTCATGTGGGTCTAAACCCAATCAGCGAGACCCCCGACTACCAGTCGTAGCGGCTGATAGTCCGACTCAAGTCACATCAACAAATCTCCACCTTGACTTGAATCCTCTTCCTCTGAAATCTCTGATGTACTCTGCTCCTTCTCTCTTTCTCCCGCCATCAATGCCCCGCAGGGCGGAGTCACCCACTCAAGACATTCACCAAGTCCAAGCAGTGTTGGAACTTGCCATGTGGAACTGGCTTCGTGAACATATCATCAGGATTATCCGCGGTGCCAACCTTCTTCACCTTAATCCTCTTCTCTGTTCTCAAGAAATGATACCTCACGTCGATGTGCTTAGTCCTCTCATGGTGGACTTGATCCTTGGCCGAGCATATTGCACTTAAACTGTTGCATTACAGCACTGCCTGATCATGATGTAGACCCAGATCACCAACCAGTCCCTTCAACCATATTCCTTCCTTAGCAGCTTCTGTCAACGCCATATACTCTGCCTCAGTAGTAGACAATGTCACCGCCGACTGCAAAGTTGCCTTCCAGCTCACTACAGAACTCCCAAGAGTGAATACATAACCGGTCATCGATCTCCTCGTGTCAACATCTCCAGCATAGTCCGAGTCAGAATACCCAGACACCAAGCACTCTGTATCACTTCTGAAGCTAATCCCCACATCAGGTGTACCCTTAAGGTACCGGAAGATCCTCTTCACAGTCTGCCAATGCTCCTTCCCAGGTTGTATCATAAACCTGCTGACAACACTAACAGCATGTGCAAGATCAGGTCTAGTGCATACCATAGCGCACATCAAGCTACCTACTGCACTAGCACATGAGACTCTCGACATGTATTCCTTCTCAGCCTCTAACTGCGGTGCATAAGCTGAGGATAGATGAACATTTGAAGCACTAGGAGTATTTAAGGGCTTTGTTGAAGACATGCCAAACCTCGACAGTATCTTCTGGATGTAGCTCTTTTGTGACAAGAAAAGCTTCTTCTTCGACCTGTCCCTGTAAATCTCCATACCCAAGATCTTCTGAGCAGCTCCCAAATCCTTCATCTCAAACTCAACACTGAGAAGCCCCTTGAACTTTTGGATATCAAACTTTGACCTCGCAGCTATGAGCATATCATCCACATACATAACAAGATAGATCATCGAACCATCCTCCACCTTGTTGTGATACACACAACAATCATATGGACTTCTGTTGTATCCCAGCTCAAGCATGTAACTGTCAAATCTCTTGTACCACTACCCCGGAGATTGCTTAAGTCCATACAAGGACTTCTTCAGCTTACAAACATAGTCTTCTTTTCCCGGAACCTCGAATCCTTCTGGCTAAGTCATGTAAATTTCTTCCTCTAACTCTCCATGTAGGAAAGCTGTCTTCACGTCTAGCTGCTCGAGCTCCAAGTCATAATGTGCCACTATTGCTAGTAGCACTCTGATCGAAGTATGTCTGACCACTGGTGAGAAAATCTCATTGTAATCAACTCCTTCCCTCTGCGAGAAGCCTCATGCAACCACCCGAGCTTTAAATTTCATGCCCTCTTTAGAAGTGATTCCTTCCTTCTTCTTGTAGATCCACTTGTTTGTAACAATCTTCCTTCCCTGTGGTCGTTTGACTAGCTCCCAAGTCTGATTCCTGTCATGGGATTCCATATCATCTCCCATTGCGGCAAGCCAATGATCAGCTTCGCCACCCGAAATGGCTTCTCTATAGGACTTTGGCTCACCTGCATCCACTTCTTCAGCAACCTGAAATGAATACGCCACCATGTCCTCGAAACCATACCTCTCTGGAGGTACTCCTGAAGTCGCTCTCTTTGGTCTATCGGAAGCTATAGACTGTTGAGCTCCTGCACTGGACCTTGAAGTTTCTGGCTCTGTAGAAACATCCCCATGTTGATATTCTCCACCTTGGTGCTCAAACTCACTCTCATTGAGAGTTTGCAGCTCCACCTGCTTATCAACAATCCTGCTACCTTCAACAACAGTAACCTTCAACATGGGGTTAAACATAGACTTCTCATCAAATATCACATTTCTACTGAGTATAACTCGATGCTCAGAAGGTGACCAGACTCGAAATCCCCTAACTCCATCTTCGTAACCCACAAATACACCCTTCTTTGCCCTTGGGTTCAGCTTACCCTCATCCACATGATAATAAACAGGACACCCAACAACTTTTAGTGAGGAGTAATAAGGAGGCTTACCATACCACACCTCATAAGGAGTCTTCAACTCGATACCTGTGTGAGGTCCATGGTTGATCAAGAAGCACGCCATGTTCACTGTTTCTGCCCAAAATCTTCTCTCTAGTCCAGCATTAGAGAGCATGCACCGTGCTCTCTCCAACAATGTCTGGTTCATCCTTTCTGCAATGCCATTCTGCTGGGGTGTATCTCTCACAATCCGTTGACGGGCAATCCCTTCATCCTTGCAGAATTCGTTGAACTCAGAATTACAGAACTCCAGACCATTGTCCGTTCGCAGCTTTTTGATCTTCTTCCCGGTCTGATTCTCCACCAATGTCTTCCACTGAACTTCTTGAAAGCCTCACTTTTCTGCTTCATCATGAAAATCCAAGTAAATCTCGAATAATCATCAATAATAGACAGAAAATACATGATGCCTCCAATGGATTCAACTCGTGAAGGACCCAAACAGTCAGAGTGTAGGTAATCTAGTATCCCCTTCGTCCGGTAGATACCCTTCTTGGGAAACTTGCTGCGATGTAGCTTCCCAAACACACAATGCTCGCAGAATTCCAACTTCTGCACCTTGTGTTCGCAAAGAAGATCCCTCTTCGACAGAACTTGCATCCCCCGTTCACTCATATGCCCCAGTCTTATGTGACAGAGAGTGGTCATATCTTTCTGATGAACATGAGACGATGCAACTGCAGCAGAACCAGACAACACAGATCCTTGTAATGCATATAAGGTCCCACGCTTCACGCCCTTCAGCACCTTCCTTGAACCTTTGCAGACATACACAACTCCACCTTTTCCTTTGAAGCTGAAACCCTTGCTGTCGAGTAGACTCAAGGAGATCAGGTTCTTTGTCATTCGTGGAACATGCCTGACATCATTCACGGTACAGAACGAACCATCATGTGCCCGAACTTTTATGGAACCGATTCCAACAACCTTGCAGACAGCTCCATTTGCCATGACCACATTACCACCATCTATCTGCTCGTAGGTTGTGAAGCAATCCCTGTTCGGAGACATATGGTATGAGGCTGCAGTATCTAGAAACCACACATCCCCACCATGTGCCTTCTCATCTACAGCCAATGCGAGATCGTCTTCAGAACTGTTGTCCCCTTCTGCCACGACAACTGAACCTTGTTTCTTCTGTTGCCCTCTTCTCTTGGGACAGTTGTACTTCCAATGCCCCACTTCCTTAGAGTTGTGACAAGCATCACTTGGCTGTGGACCGGGACCCTTGGAATTCTTGTTCAAATTCCCTTTACCAGATTTCTTCTTTCCCTTTCCACCTGTAACAGCCAAACCCGATGCCTCACCACCTGTACCAGATCCAGACGCCTTATGCCTGATCTCTCTCGTATGAAGAGAAGACCTGACATCCTCCAACGACACGCTTTCTTTTCCAGCAATAAAAGAACCAACGAAATTCTCATATGAACTCGGCAAATAAACTAGTAGGATTTGGGCAGCATCCTCGTCATCAACTTGAACATCTATATTACGCAGATCCAGCAAAATAGAGTTAAGTTGTTCGAGATGTTTCCTCAAAGGCGTACCTTCTTGCATCCTCAAGGTGAACAACCGTTGCTTGAGGTGCAGCTTGTTGGTTAAGGACTTCGTCATATACAGACTCTCCAACTTTAACCACAAGCCCGCGACAGTCTTCAATGATGACGTCTCCTCCAGGGTATTCCACTCATCGTCATCGACCGCTGCCTTCTTCTGTTTCGCAGACAGCGGCCCCCACAACCCTTGCTGTTTTAATAAAGCCTGCATCTTGATCTGCCATATAGAGAAGTTGTTCTTCCTGTGAACTTTTCGATCTTCATGTTCACCGACGTCATTCTTCTGAATCGAAAACCCTAGCCTGATTTCCAACCAGGCTCTGATACCACTTGTTATAAACGCGCTGCTACGGATCGGGAAATCGTCAGAATCGATAAAGCAAGAATACGAAAGCGAGAATCGAAAAACACCGACACACGATTTACGTGGTTCACTAACACGATGTGTGTTAGCTACCTCCACGGACGAGAGAGAGCCAGTTTCACTATATCGAGGAGATTACAGATTACAGAGGAGTATGAGAAGTATTTATAGTACTTCTCCATGTGGGTCTAAACCCAATCAGCGAGACCCCCGACTACCAGTCGTAGCGGCTGATAGTCCGATTCAAGTCACATCAACAATCATATGTCAGTAACAAAATGAAATCATGTTATAGAACCTTTAGTTTTTCAACTCTATAGTATTAAGAATGCATGAATGATTTTTTAACATGGTTCTAAATGTGAAGGAAAGTAGGAAACTATCTATATTTCTGTGTGTAGCCTTTAAGTTAGGTTAATCTCTTAATTGTTGTGTGTGTTCTACGATGAGACCAGGCCCTCAAGTTACTTTTAATATGTAATATTTTGCCTTTGATAAATTATAATTAGGTTATTTAATTCATAAATAATTTAATTATCTTTATAAATCATAGCCTCTATTTTCATTTTGTATAACATTTGTCTCCTAAATTATCAATGAATTTTTTCATGTTAAATATTTTTGTTTAAAATGTATACTCTCATGAATAGATAGTTTTAAATGTGAAGGTCAATTCTAAAATTTACCATTCATTTTCCTTTTATTTTTTTGTTTTATTTAATTTCTTGATTATCCAGTAAATTTTAGAATTGGCCTTCACATTTTAACATGGGATCCCTCCACCCAGAAATCTCCAGTTTGTAGTTGTTCGTGAGGTTGGCGTGGTGACCTGTGCGACTTCGGCCAGCGCCTTGCGGGTGACCAGAGGCCGAATAAAAATTATTTGCGATTTTGGACTGCAACCGCTTGGTTTCGGATACAATTGCGAACCGCGAGCTACTAAAAATTCAGAACGCATATTAGACCGCAGGTATAATGATGCGGTTTGACACTTTGACTCGACCGCAAAAATGGTTCAGTATAGTTTGAAGCGGTTTGACCACACCAACGCCCATCTTGACACGGTAAAACACAACACCAATCTGCGACCAAGGGTAATCGCAGACCGGGAATGCAGTAACAGGCAAGTTATATTATCAACCCGGGGTCTAGGTCTACTGCTTACTCAGTGATTCTCTATTATCTAGCCAACTAAAGTATGTGATTGTTGTTTAAAAGCAAAAGCAGAAAGAAAGCAGGAAATTATTCGGTTTTCTCAAGCAGGTAAGAGTCACTCGGGAATGAATCCCCCTAGCTCCTTAGTTAGGTTTCAATTGTATTTCCCTGGGTTGATTTACTGTTGATTAGACTGCGGAAGATCCGACAGTAGCTTGGAATCTCTTAAGCTGACCAAGCCCTCTCAGTCTAACTACCCGGCAGACGACTAGTCTTCACTGGGATAGAAAGCTGAAGCAGTAAGAACAGAACTCCACTACTGGAATTGGATTCCAGTACAAAGCAGTAAACTGGCTAACTCTCGTATAGCCAATCTCCTACAATCGAATGATGAGACTCTAGCAACCTAATCATATTCTATCTATCTCAGATTGCAGCAGGAATCAGGAAAAGTTGATCAGACTTCAATTGACTCAATAAACATGCATCATTCGATTAAAATCAAACAGTAATATCATCCCAAGTCATTACAATCAATCCCTAACACATAGAACTAGGGTTCTTCATCCCCAAGTGAGAGAGGGGTTCTACTCCATAGAGAGAGAGAGGAAAACAAGATACAAAGCAGTCATACTCATACTGATGGGAAGAATCTGCTCTGGGATGATGATTTCCACTCCTATGACGATCTCCAAGCTTGATTTGATGAAACCCAGCTCCAAGATGGCTTCTAGGATGTGTTCTTCGTCCTTTCTCTCTCCAGGGCTCTGTTTTTGCTCAAAAAGTCCGATTCTCTCTCTTGCAGCCCGGAATTGGGTTAAAACCAGGAAATCCTGACTCACACGGGCAGGGCCACATGGCCGTGTGGCATAACCAGTTGCCCGTGTGAGTCAAAACGTTGCGTTCCACTTAGTTCGATTTTCAGGCTTCTCACACGGCCAGGTTCGCACGGCCGTGTGTGACTTCCATCTGCCCGTGTTTGCTCTCGGCGAAAGTCACACGGCCAAGCCACTTCTTCACACGGCCGTGTGTGTTGTCAGGGCAGGCCGTGTTTGCTCTCGCACAATCTCACACGGCCAGAAATATGAGTTGCACGGCCGTGTGATTTGTGGGTGTGCCCGTGTGGCCTCCTTTGTGACTTGCCTCGCGCCCGATCTTTGTCCAATCGACCCCAAACTCGCTCCCAAGCCTCCATTCACGTACTAGGACCTGAAATATCACAAACAAGCACAACCTAGCGTGAAATCGGCTTAAAACACGAGAAATCACATCTCAAACGGTGTGAGAACAGGGGTAAAATCATGTGTAATTAACGGTCTATCAAACTCCCCCACACTTAACCGTTTGCTTGTCCCCAAGCAAACCAAGTCAGACACAAGGTAAGCTCACATATTTCAATCAACCAACATTGGGGACAAGTCATAAAGGCACAGAACACGTGAATCGTACTAGTTTTCAAACATCAATACATGAACAACTTCAATAGCAACCTGGACAACCACCACCAAGGACATTCGAGTGCAGCAAAATCGAGTAAAGGAAGAGTCTCCCTTCTGTTCACCAACCAACCTAGACTTGACTCAACCACTTACTCAAAACAGCCAACTCATGCATCCAACTCAAGACATCAGAATAGAGACCGAGCAGTCTAGGTCCTCACCGGGGTACAAGAGTATATAGAATATGAAAATGAATCACTCACTCTCGACCAGTGGGGTCAGGACAATTTGATGCGAAAAATGCGCATGCTATTTCTCTCAATTCCTAACATCTCTTCACCATGATGGCAGCCTCTAAATGCTCGAGTTCACATATGGGGTGTCACCACTAACTAATCAGGAGGTCTTAGACACAGGTTCAAATGACTGGCTAGGGTCTTGGACATGGGGAAAAGGCCTTTTAGGTGGTGGAAGCATTCATAGCACAAGGTTCCACATTTCCAAACCCAAGCAATCACAGTCAAACAAACCGATATTTCCTTTCTGCTATTCTGCATTACTCAATAGCTCAAGAGCACAAGAGCGAAGGAGGTAAAAATGTCAGCATTTCCAAGCCAGACTGCTAAGAAACACTACTTACCGGGCATTATTCAGATTTTTGGTAGTGGCTCTCTTTGCTTTCAATTTTTCTTTGTTTTTCTTTCATTTTCTTTTCATTTCTTAAGAGAGCCACCACTTCTGCATATATTTCAAATACCTGCCCAGCTCAACTTTTAAGCACTACCTCCAACACTCACATCAAATTTAGCAGAAACAGCAGAGAATATGTAAAACCCACTCTGTGGAACCTTCTAAAAGATGCAAACAGGGTGATTTTTTTCATTTCAGACCAAAAGAAAGGATAACACACGGCTCAAAAGAGCTGACTAGGGGATATGACATATCAGGACAGTCAAATTTTGTCGTGGGCTAATCCTATGCCCCCATCATCTTAGCTAGTGACAACGTGAATACTACACATCATGGAAGAGGGATCTATCGCACAAGAAAAAAAACGAGCAGGCTCAAATCTCACATGGCTACCTATATGCTCTATCTCACATTCTGATACCCTGAACTAGATGCATAAGAGATTGTCAAGAACAAGTAATCAATCCAAGTCACAGTTGGTAAGCAAACAGTTGAAAAACTGAACCCCTACAAACGGGAAGATGGACAGTTCTGCACGAATCGAACATCAAGAACACACTAGCACACTGTGTTAGGGATAAGTGCTAGCCCAGACGGCTATAGCAAAAACAATCCACAAAAGAAAAAAAACAAAAACAAAAACAAACGACACTAAGTTCAAGCTCCTCACAAATAGAGCAAACACACAAAAGTCTAAAACGAAAAACAAAACACACTGAGATGGGCAACGAGTACAGCCTACTCGTCGTCGAGGTTATCCAGATCGAAGACGATGTCGTTCATGAAGGCGTCACCACCATCAGCACCATCATCACCATCCGCTGGGGGAGGTGGAAGTGGAGAGTCCTCCCAGGGAGTCCTCCAAACTAGCTGCTCGCCCGGTAGCAGCTGGAGTAAATGCTGCTGGACCTCCTACATGCGCCGTGAACGGCGCCTCTCTCGCTCGATGTGTGCGAGAGTCACTCCCTGCTGGGTCTGGAGCTGGTCCAATCTCTCATCGTAACCAGCCATCCTCTGGTGGTACTCGGCCTGGTGAGCCGCGTACTGCTGCTGGAACTGCATCTGATGGTCGATGATCTGCTGGTTCTGGAGACGCAGCTGCTCGAACTGGGAGGCAAAGTAATCCTGCCCCGGGAAACTGGAACTGCCACCCCCGTACTCGAAGGTGGTGGGGCGGGCGGCAGCAGTGTCATCCACGTCCTCGGGCTGGACCTCCGCATCAGTTGCACCCTCTGAAACCTTCTGCTGGGCCGCCTCTGGAATCTGAGGTGGAGGAAACCCCTCGATCCACATGACATCTCGCTCTTCTCGAAGTAGGAGCATTTTGGTGAGAGTAGCCCGGCCAAAGGGAGTGGTCCCTCCCTGCTCTGTGCACCCCTGCAGGGATATCTGGAAGTACTCTGCCAGGCAGGTGATGAGGGGAGTGCAGTGGAGTTTCTTCAGCTCAGAAGCACTCTTCTCGAAGGTCCTCGCCACCACCGAGCCCAAGTGTAGGGGATGATCCCTCTGGCGCATGGACTGGATGAAGTACAGGGATCTCTTGGTGATGGCGCTGGCACTGTCTGAGGCTGGGGTGTAAGACTTGGCCAGCATGTGATGGAGGAGACGGTTTTCAAGCTGCAATGTGCTGGCCTTCGTCTTCCCCGCCTTGAAGGGAAGCTGACGAGGCCGAGCGAGGCTGAAGTACAGCCTCCCGAAGTCCACCCTGTCAGGCTCGGCGATCTCTGTGATGTAGTCCCTATCGTTGACCATGTTGAGGCCGAGGGCGTCCGCCAGCTCGTCGTAACTCATAGAGCGTGGTTCACCGCCGAGTCGGAACTGGACTGCAGCTTCGTCCTTCCAATCGGCCGTGGCTGCGTGCTTGAAGGTGGTGTAGAACTCAAGCACGAGCTCATGGTAAACCGTCGCGCGAATGTTGAGCAGGCGGCGCCAGTATTTGTTGGTGACAACGGGGGAGAGGTGCTCGTAGCAGTTGAGCTTCTCCAATTCGCGCTTCGACCAGTAATGATGCTGCCCAAACTTGCAGGCCAGGACGTTCTGAAAACGATCCTGGTGGGGCCCTCTTCTCAAATCCTGAACAAACTGGTGCCGGAGGTTGGGTGTCGACATGGTCCTGCAAAAGAACAACCCAAAGTGGAACCAAACAGCCAAGGAAAATGTTAATCACACCCCCACACTTAAGAACAGAAAATAGCCTAACCATGGTTTCATCCATAGTTCGGGGGTCAGAAACTCGATAAATAAAGCATAATCTGAGTGGGGGTGCACATCCATGAACAAGTAGGCAACTCAAGGCTCACATTCATACCGAATACACCCTCAAAGCACATCATTAAGGGCCCCAACCGACCCCCACAAAATGGTACGAAAACAGGCATTTCATCGAACACCTTGTGTGCACAATTAAGGTAAGCATGAAATTGGCACAATTCTCGCACACAAGGGCTCAAACAATGAAGAGGGACTTTGCCCCACACAATTCAAACACACTCCATGCATTCCCCTCAATCAATTGCACAAAAATCACAAGATTCAATGAGGTTCTCTAAACATGCACCCTAACACCCAATTCTCCACAATTAACATAGTTAAAGGCAAAATCAAACCTGGAGACTCAAGTAGAGGTGTAGGGGATGATGAGGGGAAGGCGATGGAAGCGACGAAACACCGGAAAAATGCCCGGAAGTGCTCGTCGGAGCCTCGCCCGAGTCTCGCCGGAAATCGTCTCCGGCGACAAAAACGTCGGCCAAATCTCCTCAAAATGGAGGGATAGGCCGCTTTTGGTGTAGGAAGGGTGGGTTTGATGTTGGTTTGGTGAAAAAATGACAAAAAATGGCCGAAAAAATCGAAAAGTGGGGTTTTGGCGCGGTTTTCCGGCGAGGGGGAGAGGTTTCCGGCGAGTGGGTTGGGATTTTCTGACGACTCGGCCGTGCTGGCCGAATAAATAGGCCGTGTCTCGGCCACACGGCCTGACCCACACGGCCGTGTCATGGGCACTTTTGCCCGTGTCGGCCGACACGGCCTGGCCGAGGAATTTCACTCGGCCGTGCCGAGTGCTCATTTGGCCGTGCCATATTATGCGAGAGCAAACACGGATTGGCCACTCCATCACACGGCCGTGCGATAAAATGAGTTGCCCGTGTCGGCCGCACGGCCAGGCCAATCCACACGGCCGTGCCAGTTACACTTTTGGCCGTGTGGAAATTGTCGAGAGCTCACACGGCCAGTGGAAGGAATCCACACGGCTGTGTGAGTTTTAGGCTTGGCCGTGTGAACTGCTGGAGCCCCAAAATCAACTTGTTTTCACTCAAAAACGACATTCGACTCTGGAACAACATCTCAAGACTCAAAAAACACAAAAAAATCAAAAAGAAAAAGGTAAGAAAATGCAAACCTAGGTGGGGTTGCCTCCCCACAAGCGCTTCTTTACCGTCTTTTAGTTGGACGCCAGTAGAGGAACTAAGGGTCCTCGAGCTTGATCAGCAGCTCTGCGCGCTCGACAGTACCTCCCAGATACAACTTTAGGAGGTGGCCATTCACCTTGAATGGCTCGGTTTGAGCATTGCTGATCTCCACCACACCGTGCGGGAAAACTTGGGTGACCGTGAAGGGACCCGACCACCTCGAACGGAGCTTACCCGGGAAGAGTTTCAGGCGTGCATTGAAAAGCAGAACACGATCACCTACCTGAAACTCTTTCGGGCCCCTCAACCGAGCATCGTGGAGACGCTTGGTGCGCTCCTTGTAGAGCAGGGTGTTCTCGTAGGCGTGGTAACGCCACTCCTCCAACTCTAGCATCTGCAACTTACGTTATGTACCTGCAACACTCAAATCCATGTTTAGCAGCTTAATGGCCCAGAAGGCCTTGTGCTCTAGCTCTACCGGCAAATGGCACGCCTTCCCATAGACAAGCCTATAGGGAGAAGTGCCAATCGGATTTTTATAGGCATTCCTATACGCCCAAAGAGCATCATCGAGCTTGGTGGACCAATCCTTGCGAGACTGATCCACCGTCTTTTCAATAATTCGTTTTAGCTCCCGGTTCGTCAGCTCGGCCTGCCCATTTGACTGGGGATGGTAGGCCACCGACACCTGATGCTTAACACCATAGAGAGAGAGGAGTTTAGTGAATTGCCCTTGAAAATGGGTTCCTCTATCACTAATGATGGCGCGGGGTGTCCCGAACCGGGAGAACAGTTGCTTCAGAAAGGAGCAGACTCGTCTTGCATCATTGGTGGGCATCGCTTGAGCTTCTGCCCACCTCGAGACGTAGTCCACTGCAACCAATATGTACAGATTTCCAAAAGATGGAGGGAATGGGCCCATGAAATCGATACCCCAAACATCAAAAATTTCACAAATAACAGAGATATGTTGGGGCATCTCATCCCGGGAAGAAATGTTACCTGACCTCTGGCAGCGGTCGCACTGGCGTGCGAAGGAGTCTGCATCCTTGAAGAGCGAGGGCCAATAGAAGCCCGACTGTAGCACCTTCGACGCCGTGCGGTTTCCTCCATGGTGACCTCCAGTAGGTCCCTCGTGGCATTGAGACAGGATGTCTCCCATCTCGTGCTCCATGACACAGCGCCGGATCACGCCATCTGCTCCGATTCTGAAGAGGAAAGGATCCTCCCAGAAGTAGTGCTTCAGACCAGAGAAGAACTTGCGCTTTGCATGAGTGGCCATCCCCTTGGGTAACTGCTTGCCCACCAGATAATTGGCAAAGTCAGAATACCAAGGGGCCACGCTGTCCACCATGGTCATCTCCAGCAATCGCTCACCCGGGAAGGAGTCATCGATCTCTTCCACGAAGTTGTCCACCGGAGGGGCTTCCAACCGTGAAAGATGATCTGCAGCAACATTCTCGGCTCCTTTCTTGTCCCGGATCTCTATGTCGAATTCCTGCAGAAGCAGGATCTAGCGGATGAGCCGAGGCTTTGCATCAGCCTTGCTCATCAAGTAGCGAATCACCGAGTGATCTGTGTAGACCACCACATGTGAGAGCACCAGATATGGCCGGAACTTGTCAAATGCATACACCACAGCGAGGAGCTCCTTCTCAGTGGTGGTGTAATTCTCCTGTGCATCGTTCAAGGTCTTCGACGCGTAGTAGATGGGCTGGAAGTGCTTCTCGCGTCTCTGACCCAGAACTGCTCCGACTACATAGTCACTCGCATCGCACATCAGCTCAAAAGGGAGAGACCAGTCAGGAGTTACCATGATAGGGGCATGGGTCAGTTTCTCCTTCAGAGTCTCAAATGCAGCTGTGCACTCGGGGGTGAACTGGAATGGTGCATCCTTCTCTAGCAGCTTGGTCAAAGGCAGGGCAATCTTCGAGAAATCTTTGATGAAGCGCCGGTAGAAGCCTGCATGACCTAGAAAGCTGCGAATCCCCTTCACAGAAACGGGAGGAGGTAGCTTACTGATCGTCTCAATCTTCGCGCGATCCACCTCAATCCCTTGCTTGGAGATCTTGTGCCCGAGCACAATCCCCTCACGGACCATAAAATGGCACTTCTCCCAGCTGAGTGCCAGATTCGTCTCTTCACACCTCTTCAGAACGAGTTCCAGGTTATGGAGACAATGAGAGAAGGAGTCTCCATAAACCGAGAAGTCATCCATGAAGACTTCCATGCTCTCTCCAACCAGTCGGTCGAAGATCGCCAGCATGCATCTCTGGAAGGTCGCCGGTGCATTACACAGCCCAAATGGAATCCTCCTGTAAGCAAAAGTACCGAAGGGGCAAGTGAATGTGGTCTTCGCCTGATCCTCCGGAGCAATAGGAATCTGGAAGTAACCAGACATGCCATCCAGGAAGCAATAGAACTCATGGCCAGCCAACCTCTCCAGCATCTGATCAATGAAAGGTAGGGGAAAATGATCTTTCCTGGTGGCGTCATTCAGGCGCCGGTAATCGATGTAGACTCTCCAGCCGGTCACGGTCCGCATCGGGATCAACTCCTTCTTCTCATTCGGGACCACAGTCATCCCGCCTTTCTTCGGGACCACCTGAGTGGGGCTGACCCACTTGCTATCAGATATAGCAAAGATAATCCCTGCATCCATGAGCTTCACAATCTCTGCCCGGACCACTGCCTCCAAGTTAGGAGACAATCTCCTCTGCGGATGCCTGACTAGCTTAACCTCATCCTCCATCAGAATTCTGTGGGAGCAGAAGGATGGGCTAATGCCTCTGATGTCTGTGATCTTCCATGCCATGGCCCGGGCATACTTCTGCAGCAAAGCCACCAGCCTACTCTTCTGCTCGGGTGTCAGATCCGAGCTAATAATGACCGGGAGCTTATTCCCCTCCCGGAGAAATGCATACTCCAGGTGAGATGGGAGGGGCTTAAGCTCCAACTCTGGTGGCTCCTCCAATGATGTAGCGATCCGGGGCGAGATAGGCATCGGCTTGAATGGTATCTCTCGCCCCTCGATCATGACCTCATCTAGCTCTGCGAGCTGCTCCTCCAACTGCATGTCATGTGATGCCTGTTCCCCTAGCAAAAGACAACGCTCAAGGAAATCATCAGTACCCGCACTCGTGATGGCGAGTGCGGTCTCAAAATCAGCAACAACATCACAATAATCTAGATCATCATGGAGCTGGGGGTGTTTCATATTATCAGAAACAGAGAAGGTGATTTGTTCACCCCCAGCTCTCAAAATCAGTTTTCCATCATTCACATCAACAAGCGCCTTGGCGGTGGCGAGAAAAGGTCTACCCAGTATCAATGGCACATCAACATCCTCATTTATGTCCAAAATCACAAAATCAACAGGATATGAAAATGGCCCTACTGCGACTATCAAGTCCTCTGCTATACCCCTAGGATGCACAATGGATCTATCAGCAAGCTGGATGCTCATCCTAGTATCACTGGGTTCACCTAGGCCTAGCTTTTTAAACAGTTTATAAGGCATGACATTTATGCTAGCGCCTAAATCCGCCAAGGACTTACCTATATGCAAACTACCAATCATGCAAGGGATAGTGAAACTCCCTGGGTCTTTTCGCTTCTCTGGTAGTTTGTTCTGCAGGATGGCAGAACACTCCTCGTTGAGCATCACCGTTGACAGCTCCCCAAGCTTCCTCTTGTTGGTGAGGAGATCCTTCATGAACTTGGCATACTTGGGCATCTTAGATAATGCCTCCACGAAGGGCATGCTAATGTTTACCTGCTTCAGCATTGCCATGAATTTGGCAAACTCAGTCT